ACATATATATGTATATACATATATATATATATATATATATATATATATATATATATATATATATATATATATATATATATATATATATATATATATATACCTTCTTTCCTTTTTTGGGCGGAGGGGGGGGGGGACACCACGAAGTGCCGCACCGGGTGTCACCTGACCTAGCGACGCCTCTGTTACTCTTCAATTTTTTACACTATATTCTTGATTTTTTGTTTCCTGTTTATTGCTTCTTTTGTAACTGGAGACTTGAAGATATGTATGTATAAGTTACTTTTTTTTTCAGTAACACTAGTCCAGGTGAGCTTGGCTACTGGGTCAAGTAGATATCCTTGATTCCCCTCTCACCCGTGATTTATGAGTGCCTGACCTTTGTAAGATCTGTTCTTATGTAGATCGGAGAGAATCAAATGATATGATCCAAGTTGAAGAGAATATCTAGACCAATCAAGTACGTATTGTGAGCTGTGCTCTCATGGTGCGCAGACCTTTGACCACAGGTGCTTTGACCATAGGTGACTTGACCACAGAGGAGCTTTGACCATAGGGGCTTTGACCATGGGGCTTTGACCACAGCGGGGATTTGACCATAACCCCCTATGGTCAAAACCACAAGGACCGCTCATATCCCTTTGGAGTCGAAAAGAACAGAAATATTTTTTTTTCTTCTATACGAAATGTATAAAGGAAGATGACTCACGCTGCAGACGTCTTCAGGTGCGATTTGTTGTTTCACCGAACGTAAGATGGCGCTGTTTGTTTTCCCGCCATGCACCACAGCTCGCTGGTTTATTCACGTGCGTGTGAGTGCCATCCGCTATTAACGGACAAGCCCGTGATGAAATATTGATCGCAAAATTCGACAGTAAAAAAAAAAGATATTTTAAAAAATATGCCATTACGCTTAGACAAACAGGAAGTCTGGGTAGAATTTATGAGGGCCATCGATACAAAAATGTAAGACTTCATTCTTCAGTGTTAAAAAAACCCGACATAAATGTAGTCTGCGCCTAAGAAGTGGGGAAAGTTGAATTTTGTTGTGAGTGAGTGGTTAAGAAATGTGATGAAGCACACATTTGGACAACATTTTTGTCTACCTTCAAAATTAAAAATAAAAAGTAATTTATCATAACAAGGTTTTTAAAACACTCAAAAAAATTAAAATAAAACAGCATTACTTTCATAAAATATAATGATTAAAGCATTTGCCAAAAAAGGATGTTACAGATATCTAATTTTCACGAGCTTTCGTAGTTTGAAGTTAATCTTTTCACATGGACTTAGCTAAAAATTACCGCAGGAAACATGAAAATAGTGTCTGTTCTGTTAATCCACTTAGATCATGTTACGATAGAACACAGAGCAGAACCTTTATGTAGCTGTGCGCATGTCTGCTAGTTTACACGAATGTCTAGATCAACACATCGTGGGCAAACTGTGTAACTGTAACAACATTAGATACGTGGATAGTTTATAGGCGTGTGTAGATTGGCTTTCTATGACGTCATTGGCAGAAATTCTTTCAGGCATCTCTTCGGATGGGAGGTGGGGTGCAGGCTTTGCTCCATACATTTTTTAAACAATATATAATTTAGGCCTATAAAAAATAGGCCTAAATAATTGATTGATTTTATCAGCGTTCGGCCCAGCCCCTCCCCCACCCCACTCATTTCAAGCACTCCATCCCCACCCTCTCCCCCAGAAAATAAACACTGGAAAACATGGGCGGTTTAAGCTTCAGAGGCAAAAATTCTTTTTGGGGCCCCGATATATATATATATATATATATATATATATATATATATATATATATATATATATATATATATATGTATATATATATATATATATATATATATATATATATATATATATATATATATATATATATATATATATATATAACGCTGCTGGTAGTGTGTCAGTCCTTTCTTCCGTCATCGCTATAGAGTTTGAAACTATAAAACTAAACATCGAATCATGCCGTGCTTTTAAATTGCATCGCACTGTCTAATTAATTTTAACCACCACCCCCCCCAACTTAATTTTATTCTATATGTTTCAACCCCCCACCCCCCCGCCCCTCTACTTAATTTTATTCTACATGACTTAAACCCCCCCCCCCCCATTTAATTGTATTCTATTTGTTTAAACCGCCCCCCAGCCTAACTTAATTTTACTCGACATATTTTAGCTTCCCCCCCCCCCCCCCCACTCAATTTTATTCTACATGTTAAACCCCCCTCCCCTCTGATTAATTTTAAACGCAGGTAATTGAATTCGACATTTACCTTACTTGTTGACTCACCACTTAACCACACTTGATTTTATTATCTGAGTTTGTACTTTAGCCACACCCATAAAGAACACGAACTGGCAGTTCCCAAACTTCAGTGGTTAATTGATCACTAATCAATTTCCAGCTCTAAGCCACACGGTGTAAGCAACATCTGGATACAATTAAACTGCATCATTAAAAATCCGACAAAGAGAAATGGTTTAGATAATGTTTTCAAGCATAGTTTTTAAAATTTTCATTGAAACTGGCAAGCCGTTTGTTTTTTCTTACAGCGATTTAATAGTGCTTAGATCAATTATTTTTGTACATTTTTAACAGACAGTTAGCAAGGTTGCAATGACCTAATGTGGATTCAAAGCCTGCCTACAAGAAAAAGGTGACCAGAGCAATAAACTTAGAACTAGATGACCATAGTAATAAACCGACAACTAGATGACCAGAGCAATAAACCGAGAACTAGATGACCAGAGCAATAAACCAAGAACTATATAAATTCTATTTCGTTTCGGGGTGGAGGGGGTGGGGGGGTCGAAGAGATGCCTAAAAGAAACTGCCCGTGAGTCCACCCAGCTCAGACGGGTACCTAACTCACGTTATTTAAAGTAAAATCAGCTGGGCATAATGCTGACCGCACTTTCCCTTCATATTCCGAGGTCACAGAAACAGATGAACTCTACTTCACTTGCCCCATAGACCGTCAGGTTTGGAAGGTGACCGGTTTGTTTTTACTTTGACTCTATTGGCCACATATTCACGATCAGATGGGGGAGCGGGTGTGTTATTAGAATTAAGAAACGTGAAGATCAGAAGAGAAAGCTACAACCAACTTGATAAAGTTAAAAATAATTACAATAGTCTCGCCAGGAACTGGTCATGGGAGGGGTTCAAATATTTTTCCATATGTATAAAGTGATATATATATATATATATATATATATATATATATATATATATATATATATATATATATATATATATATATATATATATATATATAACCCGCCTTGCCTACGTCACTGTCTCGTTGTTTTAGAATTTGGCTTCATTTTTCTAAATATTAATTTATACAGGCCGAAATTGTGTTTTTTTTTAAAAACAACTATTAATGTATTTTATTGTCAGGTGCATATATAAATGGTAGATTTTTTATTTATTAAGTGCTGCATTTATTTGATTACACACATAAATACGGGCTAGGGTGGAGTCGACACAATTGAAAGTCGGTCTTTTAAAAATGTAACGCGCGTGGTCTGACAGTAAAGTATACGACTGCTAACATAAATATCAGGAGTTTTGATCCCAGGCTAGAGACGTTGGATGTCCCGTCGAACCAGCTCTGATGGTTCCCTACCTCGGGTTAGGTAAAGTAACGACAGCCTAGCGTATGACTGACCATACTCTCCATTTACATGTCACAGAAGCAAGTGAACTCTACTCACAATCCCCATTGACTGCAGGTCCGACCGGGTAACTACTACAACATAGCTAAGATTTTTGTTCTTGGTAGGAAAATTTATCGCACGGCAAACAATCCGCCACCAATCAGCGAAATCTCCATTACCTCTGCTTGGGAGTTTTGTATAAAAATTATTTTATGACTGTAAGGGAGGTAGCCTCGTTTATCCATAACAATCTTTATTTATATCGGTTGTCTCGCTTTAATCTACATTTGTTTAAAAGAAAAAAATTACTTTTAAAATAAGGAAACTATGCAACTTGATGTCGCCATTGTAATACATAATTAGAAGCAAATGCAAAACTTCAACTAGCTTAACCGCTACAGAACTTAAGTTGGGAGTAGTTTTTTTTTTCTTTTTCTTTAAATTTGCCTTTATTGTTATGTTTACAAGAAGTAAATGAATGTTGAATTAGATGTGCCAAATTGGAAATGTTTACAATTTTATCTTACATATAAATAAATGTGTGTTAAGGAGCTGCGTTGTCGAATGATAGGCTAGAATGTACAACTGCTCGATTCTGTAGAACACCACTGAGTCCACTCAGCTCTGGTGTGTACCTGACTCGTAACAGGCGGCTGGGCATAAAGTTGGCCAATGTATCCCTTTGATCACAGAAATGGGTGAGTTCTTCTTCACCTGCCCCATGGGCCTTCAGGTTTGGTAGGGCACTTTACTTTTATAATGGTGTTGTTTATGGTTAAGGTTAGACAACAACCCTTAATACTAAATGAGCAATAACAATCCGATAAATCAAATAGTTTCAAAAATATCCTCATAAATTTAAAACATTGGTTTTTAAATATATAATATCGATTAAGGTGATTTGGTTTGTTACCCGGGAATATGTTAAGGTAACAATAAATGACTCGTAGGTCAGATCGCCCTAAATGAATGCTCATTATCTCCACCTTTCTTTTGTTTAATGATTGCCGGTGACATATCTATTCGTTTATTAACAATAAACATCTCTTTTAGTTGAATTTCTTGCGTTAGTCGTAACAATGACTATTTAATATATTCACTAAAGATGAACATACATTATAGATTTTATTTTATTTTTCAATTAATGTTCATTTCGTGTTGAATTCAAATTGTATTTCCAAATAATCCAACAGTTTTGTGAAATTTCTAAAATCTAAGTGGGAATATAAATCTTTATTTATTTTTGGCTCTTTTTGCAAACCTTTTATCTGGTATATTTGTCTGAAGGTTCCCATCCAACTATCAAGAACACGCAAATAATAATAAAAACGTGTTCAACTCTGTTAACTCTGTAAGTCTCTGCAAAAGATCTGAATGCTATTTTAGTATGTTTAGGTTTGAACATGTTGAGATAAAAAATCATTTTAAAAATAAGTTAAAGTACAGGTATATTTCAATGTCCATTATTAAATAAATAAATAACCAAGCAGCTGAAAACACGGTCGTGAACAGAAATGTCCGAGATGCTGAATACTGCCGGTACTCATGCCGAGTACTGAGTAAATCCTCGAGTCGTCGAATATAGCGAGTGCGAACACAGTAGCCGAATGATTAATTATTAATTGATAGGGAGAATGGTTATACTGTTGTCCGATAATGGAATCTTCTTTAAAAAAAAAAGGGGGGTGTTAGGGTGACTGGTAGTGGTAGTTAACTAAAACTAAATATTTAATAGTAAATAAATACTCAATGAATTTGAATGAATACACACATGGCTGAATGAATGACAATGCTAACCCTGTCCGGTAATCTATCGTTTTGGGTACGTAAAATCGCCCGCGATTTGTAATGTGAAAAACAGGTGACTCCTTAAATTTTAATAATTATTTCACATTTTGAGGAGAATTTATGTTTTAAAAAATTCAAAAATGTTTCCTTGATTCATTTATGTACCTGTTTTTAAACAATTGAATTAAAACTTTTCCGTAATAAATGAAGACTAGCGATGTTTCCAACAGATGCAACCATGCTCATTTACTATAGCAGCCATCTTGTCTAAGTTTTATTTTTATAAGCTTTTAGCGCCAGATTCAGGGGGAAGTCACTCTATATTTTACAAATGGCTGCTGTTTATATAGCAAATCTTGCTCTCAGACACTGCTGTTTAAAGTTAATTTCTGGCCTATATCGATATATTTAGCCATTGATTTAGGTTTATTATTCATTTATCTATAATATTTGACACAAAAGTATGACAATATACTTCTATTAAAGCCTTGACAATGAGGTAACGTTTTCGTACATAAATAGCCGCGGGCGATTTTACGTACCCAAAACGATAGATTACCCCCTGTCCTAACCCTAACCCCGGTCCTACCATCATACGCCTAACCCTAATTTCTTACCATAAAATTAGTCGAGATTACAATACTACTAACAACCCAACACCCCTTTTATAAAGAAGATTCCATTATCGGACACCGATATCTATAGGCCTAATCATCCTTTTTATTTTATTGTTTAGTTAGTTTAGGCCTTGGCCCTAAAGTTTAGGGCCTAAACTACTTCTTTATTATCACTTAATCTAGATCTAGTAATCTCGGCCTACTAACTAACTAATTAAATTTAATGCTTTTGTTATTGTTGAAACTGAAGTGATACTTTGTTGAAATGTTAAGTATTGGGAGTTAGGAGTCTTAGATCTAGATCAACTCATTACCAAATTCCAAACGATTAGGGCCTACTTACTTATTATAATTATGACTTAACGAGCTGACCCGTGGCGTATCATACGCCTCTATTTAGTTGTTTTATTTTCTACTTTTCATTAATTCATAATTTGTGAATTCGACTGTACCAATGCTGCCACTGAAAATATTTGCTTTAAAACACTATCAGTAGCTCGTTAAGGACGATACCCCCCCCCCCCCTCCTTTCCCCTACCCTTACCCTCCCCCCCATGAAAGCAAACTCCTCTTAGTTAACTCCCCTAAGTTTAAAATCGTTTCAAACTACATTATCTGCCCCTAATAGCCATCACTAAACCCGGCTCTACGGTTGTAAACATTTAGCGTGAACCACAGCTCACCAGACCATGTAGGGGTAGGGGTGGTAGGGAGCGCGCTTACAGCTTGGTGTTTTCTATGGTCTCCAAGAAGAGAATTGTATATATAGATATAAATATAAAGTTAAATTAACTTAATATAAGACAAGAGCATAATCATAATAACAGTAAGACAAACAATCATCTAGACTAGCTGGTCATAAGTGGCTTATGGGTTATTCTTATGATGATGTCACTCACATTCTGATATAGATCTAGACTCAAATTCAATGAAATTCAATTAATTAATAAAGTAAGATTCTCCATAATATCTAATCAGTTAGGCAGTATAAATCTCACAATAACAGTACTCAAACTCCACTACCACTTTACTACAGCAATTGATACTGATAGTAATGGTATGCCTACAATCAGTACAATGCCAACAATAACATACTTTGTTTATTAGACTTAGTTTTTAAATAACTTAGTGTCATCATAGTGTGACATAGAGCCCTCTAGTTTCACTCAGCTCTAAAACTTGCAGGATAAAAAGCATATTCATATAGACCTATTCCACTAACAATCTTTTAAGAATCCTGGAAGTTTTATATTCGTGGTTGGGGTTGTAAGTTATTGTAATAAAATTCCCGTAAAAAACAATAACGGCTTTAAGAAAGTATTAGTTAGTGAGCTTTGATACTTTACCACAGAGTCATAGCGCAACTACAACACAAGCGTCATTATACATTTTTTTAAATATAAAGAAAGAGATGAGACAAGTGTTTGTACACAGTTCTAATTAAGAATAATGATAATAGTAGGCCTACATGTTTTGATCAAACTATTTAAACTTATCCAGGGCAGAGTTTCTTAAAGCTGCTATTCACTGCAGTTCTTGTAAATATATCACTACTCCTTTATCTTTTAGATAATTTTCCCAGTTGTTTCATTAAAGGTTAGTGGCCATTGGAAATATGAGTTAGATAACACAAACCAATATTAACCCCCAAGAACATTCAGACTTTTGTTATGTAGGCATATATTAATTCATCCTATACATAGCTTTTACTTTTAACATTCTAAGTCCTAAAAATATATGCTGCATTATTATTAAAGCATTTATAACTGTTTCAGTCATCATCAAGCCTTATAATTAAGCAAGATTGATATCTTTTGATGCCTACTAATTGTGGACCAATGTTCTTTCTTAAACACCTTTTAAAACCATCAATTCATAAAAGGTATGTCCCACTCACATGTTTTTAAAATAATACAAATTTAAGCTTTTAGCTGTGGAGTTTGTATTTTTATTTTATTTTGTTTTATGCTGAGAATTGAGCTAAAAAAATTTCATCTATCTCTGCCAATAGCTTGTTCTGTTGGTTTCTCTCTGACCCCAATCCAACCTTGACCCCCAATCTGCATGGATTGTAGAGCAGGCCAGGTAGTGTTTACTCTTTACTAGTTGCAGCCTTTATCAGTGAACAGGTGTCATTGATCAACAGCTGATTTTTAATTGGTTAACCTCTTGTTTATCAAGCTGTTGATGTAACCTTTTGTTTTCCTCTGTGTTGTAACTTATCAGTTCTGTGATTGTTGTCCTTGTTTAACAACACTTAAAAAAGTACTTTGTAGTATTTTTTTTTTTAATCTCTTATCAGTTAAAAACAAAACATTTCAGGAAATGCTATGGAAGTTACATTGCTAATTTTCTAGTCTTGTTGATAAAGAATGATAAGCTCAATATTATAATATTTAAAGAACAAAGTTTTTATTTTAAACATTGCATCCATTTAAAAAAAAAAAAAAAATTAGTTTTGTACAAGCTTTATTCTTTCAGGTAATTGAGAATATTTTTTTTATGTGTAACCTCCATTGAACTAGTGTTTTTGTATTCTTTATTTTATTAATGTATTAACATTGCCATTAACAAACATGTGTAAGTACATTGCAGTGTTACATCTTAAAATACATTGCAATAACAAACATTGAGATACATAGGCATAATTAAACATGTGTAAATGTTGCCATTATGATACAAATACATAAAAATACATTGCAATTACATTTTGAAATACATTGCAGTAATAAACATGTGAAAATACATTGTCATTAACCTTTAAACTTTAACCCCTGATGTTCCTGTAATTTATGCATGGTCACATGTGTCAAATTTTACTAATGTCTTCTAACCATTATCTTATGGAACTAATTATCTCAACACATTGGTCTCTGTAGCTGTATGACAACTTGATTAAATGTAAATGAGGGATTCCTTTTTTTAAAGTTTAAAGATTTTTACCAAGTCACGTAAAATAATCATATTTGTACTATGCGTGGTATAAAGTCAACAAATATCTATTGGATTTGATTAGTTTTATAATAACTTAAAATGTTGAATATCAGTGACTAATTTTTTAAGATAAAATTTTCAGATTGATTCCAGTCAATAAAAACATTTTTTTAATAATACACTAAACACTAAGTTAATTGCAAAGCTAAAAGCATTTTATAACCAGTTAGAATGTATTTTCTGCTCTTATATAAATCAACATTACATGTAGTTAGTTAAATAAACCTTGGGTTTTTTTTTATATCAATGTTCCTATCAGGTAAATTGCTAGACAAGGGATGTGCAAACTTAATTAAGAAAAAGAAAATACTTCCCTGCAAAGTCTTTTTACCATTCAATCCTATGTTTGTCTAATTTCCTCTTTCAATTTGATCAATTGTCCCAAAGAATGACATTTTATGTATTACACATAAGATAAACAAGAATTTTGATAAATGAGAAACGGTTAACAGTTTTAAAAATCTTTGAGAGTATTTTTATCTTCATGTCACGTTTTTATTGTTTTCAACCATTTGAAGATTATTTTTATGTAGGGCTAAATTTCTTCCTTTGTCTTGTCATTGCAAGAATTCGTAAACAACTGATATCTGCTGAGTGGTTTGATAAAAATTGTACTATATAACCAGGCTCTTTTTTTTTATGCTTCACAAATTCAATTTTAGAAACACCATTTTGTTTCAGTACTTATTTCTAATGCAAATTTTAAACTTTTTTTGTAAATTTGAACTGTAACTTGTTTTAAATCTGAGTGATTTTTCCAGTAATGGTATCATACATTCATCATTGAGGAACATGGCAGCATATACCGCAGTGAATGAGCCCATGCTGGATTTTGGGCCAGGAAGTCAGGAAAGGAAAGATTTAGAAAATACTTTGAAAAAATACATTGGTCAGACAATTGATGTGCCTATAGTGATTGGGGATGAGGAGATCAGAACAAAGGATGTTAGAAAACAGCTTGCAGTGAGTCTGTTTTGTATGTTTTATATATATATATATATATATATATATATATATATATATATATATATATATATTTGTGTATGTCTATATGTATAAATATCTAATATATAAAGCTCAATTCTGTATGTAATAAGTTTGTCGTTGACATACTTGGATGGTTTTAAGTGTTAGATCAATTATCGTGCTCATAGTCTAAATTTATGAGTTAAAAAATTACTATTGAAAGTGTTGGGAAATAATTTTCATTTTTCAAACTGATAGTAATAATTGTCGGCATGTTCATTAAACACAATTTTAAAAAATAGCAAAAATTCTAATTATGTCTGAAAATTATTTATATTTAGTCCTTTAGCACTTACTTAACTTTGATAAATTAGGAAAACACAATTACTTCACTTTATAAAACATTGCATTGGTGGAAAAGAATTTACTTTTTATTAATTTGTTTTGGTGTTGGGAAAAAAATAATTACATAATTAGCGGGGATTGATCAAGTGCAAATGTTGTAGGTATTTTACGGATAAGCTTGGAGTATTATAATTGTTCATTTGGTTTGGTTTGGCAACTACGTTCGTTTAAGTGAGTGCAAAAGACTATGAATAAGTTGGGGTACTATAGTCGTTTATTAAGGGGATATGCGCGGAAAAAAATCACAAAATTTCTTGTTTTTCTTCATGATCGGTTTCTTGCACTTTTGGATACTTTGTCCATTTTTGTATAAAGAAAATAATAACTTTAAAGAGAAAAAAATATTTTATGTGTTTGAATTACGATTTTTATGACCTTATTAATTAACAAAATAATCAATTTTTCCCAATCTTACAAGCTCTCTTTGAAAAGTTTTATATCCGTCATTATATTGTATTTGACATCATTGGAAAGCTGAATTTCTCATGTATTTAATAAACTTAATTTCCTACATCTCGGAAACACCCAAAGCTTACAATCGGCTTTGCAGTTTACACAGATATGGTACTTTCCTGACCTAGTTTTCGTTACTTTTGGCTGTTTTTCTCAGTTTGCATGTTTTTAACACTAAAAAGCCTACTACTTTTTTATTTATTAAACAATGCCAACCATATTTTCAGTAATTGTTCATAATGCAAAAATAGAACTTTTGTCACGAGGGAATTGTGATTGCTTTCATAGAAAAAAAGTATTTGGTAATTAGCATGCAAATTTTGAAACTTTTGAATACTAAAAAAGGGTACGATTTTTTAGACCTTGTAAAATTCTTACTAGTAATTATTTCAAAAAGTTGTCGTGACAAAAGTTTTAATATATACTGAAATATAAGCAGTTTAAATTTGATTGCTATAGGTGCACAAATAAAAAAGCCTTAGTATTTTTAAAAGTACCAAAAAATTTAAAAAGGCGGATGTTTTTTGGGTTTCCATGACAACCAAAATTGTTTTCGACCTTTTTTTTTGTTGTTTAATACTTACTTTTATATGCCAAATATGATAAAAGTATTCAAAAGGCTTTAGATCTTAAACTGTAAAAAATAGAAAAAAACATAGCATATCCCCTTAAGCTGAAACAGGCGATTCTGCCCCGGGCTAGACTGTGAGCACTTTGCTTTTATGTTCGCGTTTGTATTTTCATTGTGTTTAGGTTGGGTTTGCGTTAGTGGTTGTGTTTTGATTTGGTTCGTTTTTGTTCTTTCTGTTTTCGTTTGTGTTTTTTTTCTTTGGGTTTGTGTTTGTGGTTGGTTTTGGATTTGGTTTGTTTTTGTTTGCTTTTTTGTTTGTGTTTTTTTCTTTGGGTTTGTGTTTGTGGTTGGTTTTGCGTTTGGATTTGGTTTGTTTTCGTTTGCTTTTTTGTTTGTTTTTTTCTTTGTGTTCGTATTGGTGTTTGTGGTTGTGGTTGGGTTTGTTGTTAGGTTTTTGTTTTCGTTTGCTTTTTTGTTTGTTTTTTCTTTGTGTTTGTATTGGTGTTTGTGGTTGTTTTTGTTGTTAGGTTTTTGTTTTCGTTTGTATTTGTAATTGTGTTAGCGTTATGTTTGCGTTTTTTTTGTTTTGGTTTTGGTTGGTTGTGGTTTGGGTGGGCAATGCCGGGTTTATGATGATTACTAAACACACAGGTAATGGTCTTTAACAGAAAGGTTTTTCACAGAGCCAGAGCAGGGCCTGGCCGGGACGGCTAGTATATGTATATTTTTGTATGTATATATGTATAAATATATATAAGTATATTTGTGTATGTATATGTGTATGTATATGTGTATATATATATATATATATATATATATATTTATATATATATATATATATATATATATATATATATATATCTATATATATATATATATATATATATATATATATATATTTCTGTATGTATAAATGTTTGTATATATATATGTATATAATATACATATATATATATATAATTTCTTTCAGCCTCATGATCATAGGTGGGCTGTGGCCACTTTCTACCATGCATCTTCTGTGAGTTAATATTTAGTTTTAAAATTCTTAAATAGTTTCTGGAACAATATTTATAATCTTACTGAATAAAATAGATATATAATATACATATGCAAATCTATAATTGAAAATTAAGATGATAAAAAAATTATTTTATAAGAATTTAGTTTTCTAAGCTATTTTAATTAAAATAAAAGTGTAATGCATATGAAAATAAATTGTGCTAATGGTTAAACTAAAAATTGATTATAAGGCTCATAAAAATCTCATATGATATTTCTTAATTTTTAATGTCCTGATACTTGTAATTGCAGGAAATCATAAAAAAAGCCATAGAATCCAACCTTAAGGCCCGTGAAGACTGGGAGAAGAGACCATTGAAGGAGAGGTGCGACATTTTCCTGAGGGCAGCAGATTTAATTTCTAAGAAGTATCGGATGGACCTCATCGCCACAACCATGATTGGACAGGTAAGTGTTTAAAAAATTTTTTATTGCTTTAATTAATTTTTTAATGATAAAATTAATCCTTGAAATTTGTCAGTGATGTTCTGTGTTAAAACAGAAATGATTTGAAAGGTAATTTTAAGTTTAGAAAGTAATAAGCAGTTTCATAGAAGTAACACATTGAAATATTTTAAAATATCTTACTTTTAAATCTAACCTTTAAACATTTGCCTTTATTAGATTCTAAAATTCTATATTTTAATGTATATTTTTGTTTTTTTATTCAGTAAAAAAGTTTCTTTTATTTTTTTCAGGCAAAGAATGTGTGGCAGGCTGAAATAGATGCTGCCGCTGAGTTGATAGATTTCTTAAGATTTGATGTCATGTTTGCACAGGCAAGTCTTGATTGTATTTACTTTAAGGGGGAAGGCGCTGGTCAAAACCACTATACAGGGTTGAAAATATAATTTTTTTCAATGTTTACATTTTTAGATAGTTTAGCGTGTGTGGATTCAATTATCGTCATTATTATACTGATTTTATAGTGTTTTGACTCACTGGAAACAAAATAAACACCCCCCCCCTAGTAAAATGTTGATCTACTTTACAAAAATGTAAAAGTACACAAAAAATAACAAAGCTTCCTAGCTAGCACTGTTTAGGTTTATATTGTCATGTTATACATCTTTGAAAAAGTCATTCTTAGTGTCGTTCAACTGTGTATTTTAAAAAATGATACCTAAGCTAGCCTATATTATTCGAGGCTTCAACTACAGAAACTATCAGCTTGTTTCATTGGATTTTATTATTACACATATTTAGATTGGTCAAAATCTGACCTAAATGCACACACCTTTATTTACACTCGCGATTCTTCATTATTTCATTGCAAGTGTCAAGTCAATTTAATTCACCTGTTAAAATTGCCGAAAAAGGTTTTGGTTTAGGTAGAAATATTTCTTTAGCTCATCTGATGATCCTGTAGTGCCTGCTGATGAAGTGACTTGCAGCCGTGCAGAACCACAGAACTATGGTAGAGCAGAACAAAAGTTCTCGGTGTACGAAGCTTGTAATGTGGCTGCAATGACTAAATCCTACTTTTTTATTCATGAAAGCTTCTTGCTGCAGTCGGGGGCCCCCAAATTTACTGCTTAATTGTTGGTTTTCACTTTAAAAACTAAAGTTTTAATGTTTGCATCACATGCTTCAATCCTTTTTTACAAAATATCTAACATGCACACACACACACGCGTATATATAGGGGCCCCCAAACAATTTCAGTCGGTGGCCCCGCTCAAGCTTAATCCACCCCAGGTTATCAGCAACTACTGTGAAACATGTGCTGCTGGTCCGAAGCAAGGTTCACCACAATATGATGAGTGGATGCAGGTTCACAAACCAAAGTGCCAAAAAAATGCTGACTGCTCGTCAAATGCCATGGAGACTGTGACAGCAAAGCTAACTTTAGAGAGGTCTGTTGAACAAAGCAAGTTTGTGTACGGCATAATTTTGTGCAGAACTGCTATGACATTTCAGGAACTAAAGAAGGCTGCCTTAACCACATAGCCAAAAAAATGATCAATGGGTTGGAAAATTAAAAAAAAAACTAACAAGAATGGATTAAATCGCAAACTGACAAAAACCAGTTATTGAAAAGATAACTAACATATGCCAAAAACCTGAAGGACAATGCTCCTGATGTGGTTAAAAGGAAGCAAGGTGTGTTGGGTGGATTTTTTCCCATGATGAGTACAGAAAAGTCACCTAACCACAGGCTCTGTCCAGTTGGAGATAATTTATGGTGTCACTTTCAAAGGGCACGAAAAAGTGGACAATACAAAAAACACCATCCAGCATACACGCCCGAGGTGGGTCGGCTGATATACATAATCATTCGGTTGACAGAGAAAGAATTTCTACACCGTAGTGAAAAGGTTGAGAGACAGATCTTCTACACCGTTGAATGCAAATGAGAGTTTTAACTCTCTTATATGTCAATGATCTGCGAAAACTTTTTTTTGCCTCTAAGTTTGCTGTCATTACTGCTACATCGCTAGCAATACGGGCATTTAATTGTAGTCCTGCAGGACCATGGAGAAGATTAGATGCCAGTGGAGCACTGTGAACAATAAATATCCCATGGTTATGCTACAGCAGAAATGCAGCAGCTCCAGGAAGCGCAAGCTGGGCATTTCCAAATGGAAAAGAAAAAATATGAAAAAGGGGCGTTTTTAATTTTAGGTGGAGTATGTGCATGAGTGTAAGGAGGTTACCACATATTCTCCTTGAGGATTTAACAATTAGAATCTGTTAATGTATGGACATACACTGTGAAAAAAATGTTATGTTTTTGTGATGTAAATAAATCTCTTTATTTTGTTCTTTCAAAACAAGAATAACCAGAATTGATTCTAAATTGGGGGTCGGCGTGGTCGAGTCGGTAAAGCTCATGGTTGCTAAACTGAAAAGTCTCGAGTTCGAACCCTCGGGCAGATGAGGCTCGTTAGCTGGGGACAGCCACTCTTCTAGGAGAGACAGCTCCAAAAATTAAACAACTGCTGCCTTGTAGTTTGTTCTTGGTTGGACAAAGGCTATGGAAGCAAATCCAAAAAAGAAAAGCAGGCTGAAATCGGAGTCAATGGCCTTAATGGCGCATAACCAGTTGACACGTAACGCTTAATTGTGTTGGAGGCGTGGTCGAGTCGGCAAAAAGTTCATGGTTGATAAATTCGAACAAAGTCTTGAGTTCAAACACACTGGCAGATAAATCTCGATCCCCTTCAACACTAATAATTAAGAACGAAGAAGAAGAAGAAGAAGATTCTAAATTGGGCTTCAAAAGGAAAACTTAATGAATGGCGGAAATCCTATGAATAGGTCTATTTTTCAAGATGGCAGCTGTTGTCATAGTTACCAAGATTCCCCCACCAAATTTTTTAAACGGAAACACTACACTGATTTATCTTAATAGGACTATAGAGAAATAATTGTTCCCTGTCAAGTATTTAAAAAAAAATATTTCCTGAGCCTACTTTCTTAAGATTTGATGTCATGTTTGCACAGACAATTCTTTATTGTATTTACATGGGAACTCCAGCACTGCTGAGATAAGTTATAGAACTATCTTATGTGTTAACATCTGAGAGTCCCAGGCTTGGTTCTGTACTACATTCCTGAGTTCACTCAGCTCTGCAGGGTACCTGACCATACAGATGACTAACTAACCTTTAATGTGATACATCACAGAAACTTCTCAACTACATCATACACTTTACTTCTTTTAAGGTCCATAACAATTAATTTCATTAAATGCAGTCATTTATTTTGGGTTTTTTTTTAACATTTTATTTATCTTTCTCACAGAAAGTAATCATTTTGTGTCCTTCCAAGCTTGGAAAAATAAATATCATAAAATTGTATTGTGTTTTAACTTGCACTCATGTTTATAATAAACATTTTCAATGTCATTATCTTGCTAGAAAACAACAGAGTACCAGCCCTTGAGTCCATCACCAAACACCACAGTCAACAGCCTGTCCTACAGAGGGCTTGAGGTAACATATAATGTGTCATCTGTTTAATTACTTGACTCAATTTTTTTTTGTGATTACTATCTCCATGGTAGCTGTAACCTATTCAATTTCTTATTTACTTGTTAGTTCTAGTTAGGTTAGGTTAGGTTAGATTTCCTGGCATCTATGTCCATGGCTAGTCTCGCCAGGTGAATCCAATCTTCTTAGTGACTTTAATTCCAGGTCGTCTCAAGGATGTGTTTCTTGGTCTGCCTCTTTTCTTTTTGCTCTGTGAATTCTGTTAGTTCTAGTATTACATTATTATGTCATTTAAAACTTTATTAATTTTTTCTCAGGGTTTTTGGGCAGCTGTTTGTCCATTTAATTTTACAGCAATTGGCGGACATCTTCCAATGGCTCCTGCCTTAATGGTAATTATAATTGTTTTAGCAGAGAATTAGCCACAGTCACTTTTATTGTACGGTTTACTTGTGTCATATTATGTACCAGGAAATTTCTTAAAGTGAAATAATGTCAAATATATCCTGCATTTTTTGTTCATTAAAACGTCACATTTTTAAAATTCACTTCCCTTATTTTTTGTTAATTATACATAAAGCCAGTATTTAATTACTAATTTATCTTATTGTAAGCAATTATTAGGCTGTAATTAATTTCATAGGACTTGCAGGTAAATTGAAATGACAAGTTAGAAATTGTGAATTCTTTTTAATGGAAAATGTTAGTCTTTTAGTCTCTTGTTTAATATAAAAGTTCTTTTTCTGTATGTATTTCTGTAATATTAGCATATAAAAGTTACGTTTTTAATTTAAAGTTTCTAATAATTTCTGTAACTATCCAACAATTCCAGGGTAATGTGGCATTGTGGAAGCCCTCCGACACAGCAGTCCTGTCCAACTACACAGTATACAAGATCTACAGAGAGGCGGGGCTTCCCCCTGGTGTCATCAACTTCCTGCCAGCTGATGGGCCTGTGTTTGGTGACACAGTTCTCTCCTCTCCAGACTTTGTAGGCTTGAATTTCACAGGCAGTGTTCCGTTAGTTTGGTTTCATTGTTTTTTTAATTGTTGTAATTTTTTTAAAGTTCTGCTTAACTTTATAGTTGGAATTTGATTATTTTTTGGTTCTGAAATCTTGATATTGTTTTTATATTTATGGCTGTTGTTAGCTTTTTGACCCAGTAGGACATAGGTTATCAACAAAATCATACATTATTAATCCAATAAATATTGTTTTTTAATTTCATAGGGTTTTATTTTACTATTTATTTATTTATTCTTTACTACAACAATGGCAGTAATTGATTTTTTTTTTCTTTCAGAACTTTCAAGAAACTGTGGAAGCAAGTAGCACAAAATTTAGATACATACAAAAATTTCCCAAGGATAATTGGAGGTTTGTGTGTTATATTTCCTTCTTTTGAAGAATTAGTCCAAAAATTCTTACAAAGATTAATGTATTTTTTTTTTTAGAAAACTCATCACTGAGTAGCTAAACTATCTAGCTGTCAGGTTTTTCTATATAGCCAATTTTATGTATTCTTTCTAATTGTTTAGACTAGCAGTATCATTTTTTACCTGTAATTATAAAGTTAAAATATTGTATATATGGCCTACCCTGTGTCATGGTGAAAATATTTAATTTAAATTATCATTTATTTACATTGTAATTTAATGAACTTGTTACTTCTTCCAACAGAATGCGGAGGAAAGAACTTCCACTTCATTCACCCCTCTGCTGACATAGAATCTGTTGTCACCGGCTCCATAAGGTCGGCCTTTGAGTACAATGGCCAGAAATGTTCGGCTCTGTCCAGGATGTACGTACCAGAGTCCCTGTGGCCCAAGATAAAGTCCAGGCTGGTGGAGATTGTGAAGGATGTCAAGATGGGCTCCCCTCTAGCCAGGGAGTCTTTCGTCACTGCTGTAATTGATGATAAGGTAATGATTAGTTTAACTCAGGGGTCGGCAACCTTTTGAAGCGGAAGAGCCAAAAGTTACAATTTTCAAAATTTCCCTGGTTTTAAAGAGCCACTAACATTTTTTTTATTTCAAATATTTTATTTTTTTATTAAGATTATTAGTATTTGTGCAAGGAGCTGGAGAGCCTCATCTTGATATCAAAAGGGCCACATGCGGCTCACAAGCCGCAGGTTGCCGACCCCTGGTTTAACTAGTTTAGTTGGTTTCTCATGTTCTGTTTGCTAAAATAGTTTTTAAATTGAACTAAATTTATATTACTAATCTATTAATTTAATTATTTTTTTTATAAAAAAGGAATCTTATCTTCCTAGCGTAGTTGTAGATTGTAATCCTTTCCTTTGTTTACAGGCTTTTGCAAGAGTGAAGAGTTACATTGACCATGCTAAGACAAGTCCTAGTTTGTCCATCATTGCAGGTGGCGGCTGTGATGACAGGTAAGTTGTAGCCCACATACAGGGTAGCGTGGGCTGCTGTGGAATTAATCCTAACTCTAGGTTTATGTGTTTTTAAATATCTGAGTATTTATCAAATTTATATAGAAAAGTTTCATTAACCTGGTTATTAATTGTGACATTATTTAACTAATTTACCATTTATGTTTGTTTATTTAAATTTCGGACTTAATTTTTTTCAGCATTGGATACTTCATTGAGCCAACTATTATTGAAACAAAAGATCCACTGGATAAAATTATGCAGGAGGTAAACACTTGTCAAATATGTTTTCCTTACATCCATTGAAGTGCTGTTTTTTTTTCTTTGATCATGTTTCATAGTCATTGAGCATTAGGTTTTTTTTTTTTTTTGAGATCAGATGCTTATTCAAACCATTGGTAGTCTTGTTTTTTTTTTTTTTTTTTTTTTTTTTATGTATTTGTAGAATATAAAAGAATGAGTTGATTTTTAAAAGATTTTAAAAAAATGGCTTAGTGAGACTGATTTCATAATGACTTAATGATTGATAAGTTTAAGACAACCATTAAAAAAAAACATGATCTTCTCTTGATAAATTAAATCTCTTTTAAAATAATTTCCTTGAAAGTTGAAGAGCTTTTATAAATAAACTGAGTTCTACCAATATCCTATTTTAGGAGATCTTTGGACCAGTTGTCACAGCCTATGTGTACCCAGACAACAAGCTGGGTGAAACAATCAAACTAGCGCAGACATCCTCGCCTTATGCCCTCACTGGTGCCATTTATGTCCAAGACAAGTAAGTGTATGCCCTCACTGGTGCCATGTATGCCCTCACTGGTGCCATTTATGTCCAAGACAAGTAAGTATATGCCCTCACTGGTGCCATTTATGTCCAAGACAAGTAAGTATATGCCCTCACTGGTGCCATTTATGTCCAAGACAAGTAAGTATATGCCCTCACTGGTGCCATATATGCCCTCACTGGTGCCATATATGTCCAAGACAAGTAAGTATATGCCCTCACTGGTGCCATATGCACAAAACAAGTAAGTATATGCCCTCACTGGTGCCATATATGCCCTCACTGGTGCCATATATGTCCAAGACAAGTAAGCATCTGCCCTCACTGGTGTCATATATGCCCTCAATTGTGCCATATATGCCCTCATTGGTGCCATATAAGCCCAGGACAAGTAAGTATCTGAACTTGTTTCAAACAATAAGAAACATCTTACTCCTAATTACTAGTATTAATCTTCCAAAATGGAGGCGAATAAAAACATACTGCACATACAAGGCTATTTCTTGAAAAAGGATGACAATTTTGTCATGTAAACTCTTATATCAAATCAAATTGTACCATCATAACAGAAGTGTTGAAATTTTAAAACATCCTGTACTGCTCATTTTGGTTATATAATTATTATCCCACATCAGTAAAGAATATCAATTTATTATTAACTTAAATCAAGATAATTTCAACGGTTTATTGATAAGTATGAATTTTTAAAAAACAAGAATATCAACAATACTAATTACTTAATAACATCTCAGCATTTCTTCTCAATACGGACGAAAATATTGAACAGGACTGATTTTTAATTTTGATTGTTTTTCCTAAAGTTTCAATACACATCAAAGTTTTTTTGACATATGTTTGTTTTGTAAGTTAGTGAAGTTGTTAATTGATTAAACTCCTTTGATGTGGTTTTAGAGCTGCTAAAGCAGAGCTGACAGAGGCCTTCCGCTACTGTGCTGGTAATTTCTACATCAACGACAAGAGCACAGGGTCAATTGTTGGTCAGCAGCCATTTGGTGGGGCCAGAATGTCAGGTACAAATTTTTACCTTCTCACGTGACTTAATCAATTATAATTTTTAACTGTCATTAAAATATCAAGTACAAACTTTGAACTTCTCACAACTGGACTTAACCAGTTATAATTTTTAACTGTCATACTTGGTCTTACAACCAAATGACTAGGCTAGTTATATCAAGTAAAATTTTTATATTAATCACTCTAGAAGGTCAAACATAGACTGGTCAACAAGTAGAATTGTGGATCTAGAACACTCACTGAGCACAACTAAGCTTTATTTTTTTTTAGTTAGTGTCACTTCCCTAACATAGACTATCATTGATTCCACAAACTTTGTGTTGCTGTATTGTATTTTCCTATTGGTCATTTTAAAAGTATTGATGTTTTAAATCAAATATTGATTTACTCCAAAGTTTTAATTATCTTTTAATTAAATAAGTACTACACAGTTTTAAATAAAAATTGACAAACTGCGAAGGTTTTGATCTAAATAAGCTTTAAATCTAAAAATTGACAAACTTAAAAATCTAAAATAAAAAATTCACATAGAACAAAATTGTATGGTTTCTATATCTTTCTTTCAGGCACCAATGACAAGGCAGGTGGTCCACATTACATGGCAAGATTTACCTCCCCTGTTTCTATTAAAGAAACATTTGTTCCACAGTTGGCGTGGAGATATCCTTCAATGGAGAAATAATCTTTTTGTTTCTTTGTTATCCAGTAAGATGTTTTTAAATTACCTCTAATATATTGAGAATGTAACTTAAAGAGATACAAAAATGATATGGAGTAATGAAAGTAGGAATTAGTGCTTGTAGATTCTGAGTGTGACTGTGATTGCTGTACTACTAGTTTTTGAACATTTATGTTTGGTGAGGGCTATTAGATAAATTCATTGTTTGAGTGCTAATTAGTGTTTAAGTTTCTGTGTTCACTTCCTACCTGGTGTTATAGTGATAACTGTGATTACAATTTGTATTTTGAATCTCAAAATAAAATTATTTTCTATATAAATTAGAGTTTAAAATATTGGAATATAAAAATGATTTATGATAAATAACCTGTGTTTAGGTTTGTTTTATTTTTTAAATAATTGAGCTCTGTGAAAAAACATCTTACAAAATCATTTCTATTTTGTTGGTTTGAGAATTGAATTGTAATATTTACTCTGTTTTATTTTTTTATGATGTTAATCAGAAACTGATGCTAGTTGGTCTTTTTACCCCCAGCACAAAATGTTTTATTTTTAAATTACCATCTGACCTTAGTTGAAATTATTTAATGAAACTATTTTTTTCATGTCTTGAGCATAGTTCACTCTTTAAACAAACATCAACTGATTGTAATCAAAAATTATTTCATATCAAAACTGTCAAAATTTACCAGAATTTATTTTATTTGTTATTCGGTAACCATAAAATCAAAGAATTTTTATTTTAAGTTTTTAAACTGAAAGATCTGTAAATCATCTTAACTCAGAATGTCTCAGCATTTTTATTGCATTGTGCTATATTAGCATTTACTTTATTTAGAATGATTTAACCATGTTTAAATACCTATACTGTAATACTCTAACTATAAATTTCTCTTTATGATACTAGATAATCAAAAGAAAACATTGTAGAAATGCTATGCACTAAGTTGAATCTCTTAATCTTTTTATCTCTTTGAAATCTCATTTAACCCTAATTTTTAAAACTTAACCTTGGTTGACGGTACTTATGGATTTGCTTTCTGCTATCCTTTTCCCTATGCTCAACCTGTTTGTATGTGTGATACTTCGTTCATGTTGCTGAATACTCTCTTTTTTCTGTTATATATAAGATATTTTTGTGTGATATTTTTTTTTTTCAAGTAAAATGCGTTTGATTTGTTTCCTTACTTGCTTAAATATTTTGCAATCTATTTATAAATTATACTATTATTTAACTAAATAAATAATTAAAACAATTCTTAAGTGATCTATTCAAATTCATGTGTAAGTCAGCTTAGTCATGACTTGATCTAGATCTACTCTTTAGGAAAAAAAGTATATCTAATAACCTGTTGTAGATGCTATAAATTTTGATTGATGTTAATGATCTGTACTAAATGCATTTCTAGTCTGTTAATTTTCTGTGTATTTATGTAGCTAATTAGTTACACCTAGTTCATATTTGACACAATACCGTATGATGTTAATTATTTTATGTAAACAGGCATTACTTATTTTGGAGTTTCTCACAGTTAATCCTATGTATGTTTATATATATATACTCAGTTTATTTTACTGGTGTGTTTTCCTATGTTCTTGCTCTGTGTATACATAGCATGTATTTCTATGCTTACTGGTGGTAGCTTAAGAATTATATATATATATATATAATTTTTCTCATGTCTGTTTCATAAGCTCAGATTTAATTGAACATGTTTTGGGAAAATAAAATCTGCATTGATTTGCTTTCTTTTTTTGTATAAAACCCTTTAGTTTTTAGCTGTTGCATGTTGATGTCATTTAAATAATTATTATTTATATTTTCTTTATGTTAGAAAAATGTGGGGATGTTTCTTTTAGCTAAGAGTTTCTCCCAGTTTTAAACTACACAACAGTTTTACACCAGGAATTTCAAGAACACATTCAACTTGAACTTTTACCAAAGAATATTTCCAATGCTTGTATTGATACGAAACTATCCAATCAAAACTAACTTTTCTTTCTTCCCCCCATCCCCCACTTGTATTACTTACTAGTTTTGTTTGACTTTGTGTGGGATTAATGAGAAGTTTGTTAGCTATAACATGAATCTGTTGACCACTGTTTTACAATGAGTGATTGAGGTTCTGTATTTGATTTTCTAATCAATAAATTTCAGAGATTTTACTGGAACATTTTTTTCTCTCCATGATTTGTTTGAATAAATGCCACATTTTCTTGTCATATTCACAAAAATTACTTGATAAAGCTAGCAAAAAAAAACATGAAAAAATTATTAACTTTACTAGTCCTGAGAACTGAAGTATAACTTTATAGTCTCCCCTGAACATTAGGTGCAAACATGTCTCCCTTCCCTGTAGTAATTTATTGGCTTATAAAGTAGATATCTTGGAAAATTATAGACAGGTGAAAGTAATTATTGAGAAAATAAATTTACTTTGTTAAACTGCTTTTAAAAAATATAAAGAATAATATACTATGGTAAAGCTTTTAAAAAATAAAATATCTCAAGCTTTTAACAAAGGTTGGGTTTTTAAAAACTTTGAATTAATGAAACTATGTCTTGGTGCTGTTTTTCTGCAGATATTTTAAATATCTCACTTGTAACACAGAGAACTGACTATTCACACCAATAGAATATATAAATATCACATAAGGGAATTTACAATTTTTTAGAAAGAAAGAAATAATTTTAAATGTTTTATTTGTTTTTTTAATCATTTTAATTTTTATATCAAATTCATAGAATAATATTAAAAAAACATTATGAAAGAAATTGTAAAAACAATTACTTTATTGGACTAAACTCAGGCCCTTGTTTCACTATAACTGACAAACATTTAAAATCATAAATCTCTTCAAAAACAACACTGCTCTGAAGGTTACAATGTTATTTAGCTCCAGCTTAAATTGTTACATTTAAAAAAAATGGAATGACATGTTAAAACTAAACAAATTAGGATATTTAAAAAATGATAATAATCAGGCTATTCATTTACTCTTTTTCTTCAAGTAGATCATCGTACAGATTGACTAGTTGGACATCACTAAAATTTTAGTTTCACAATCAATGAAATTTTGGCTTTGCAGGAATAAATTAAGTTGCAATTGTTTATAAAATGTAGCTTTTAGATAAGATGGATGTTAAAAAATAAATTTAACTTTAAATTAAATAACAGAACTATGATTTTAAATGTATATGGTTCAACATCATCTTCATTGCAAACTAATGCAAATTTCAATGCTAGATTACCCAATAAAATTTATGTACAATACACAATTTTCCCTCAAATGTTATCAAACCATAAGACTTTCCCAACCAAATAAACAAATATACCAGCTAAATGTACCCAATAAGAAAATTATAGAAAAGTAAAAAATAAAATGCTGAATTTTACAAATGAATCCATAGTATTGTTAACAAAGGTCTGGAGTTAAAATATCCTAAATGCAAAAAAAGTTTAAAAGTATTGTTTAGCTTATACATAAAAGAAACCTTAATCAAACAACACTTCATAAGTCGAGGTCACGGAAACAAGTGAACTCTACAAGCCTCATCAGGTACAAAAAAAGGGACCTTTACTAATTAAGTTAATTAAACTTACATAACTGCGGAGGAAATAATACTGGTTAAATGATTGAACAGGGCAATGCTAATTTTATAAGTTACAACACTATAAAACTAACTTCACAATGACAGGCAAAAAACATAAAGACTTAGCAGCACAAGGGTGGGTGGGTGTAGATCACAATGGGCAAAACTATCCAAGGAGGGAACACTAAAATAATTGTCAACATTAATTGATATCCAGTTAATTAAACAACTCATTAAACCTGATCTAATTATTTAAGCACAGGGTGACACTATTCAAGAGGGTAACCCAAAACAATGCCAACATTATTCAGATTTTTTTTTAAATATTAAACAACATATTGAAAATATGTACATCATTAAGTACAGGGTGACCCACTGAACATCATATTGGCAGAAAATGGAGTGGGCGACCCTGAGTATGGCATTACCTAATGGAGAATTGGAATTTTTTTTTAAAAAGCTGAACAAGTGCGGATGTAGCTTAAATTACTGCCAAAAATTCAAAATTAATTTTGAAACTAAACAACATATACAGTTCTACAACAAAAACAATAGCCCACATACACAGTCTTGTATTGCTTAATTGAAAAAGATTGAAATCCCTTTACATGCCAGCTGGTCACTATAAAATAATACAATAGTGAAACAGCACGATACCACCTTCACACAGTAATGCAACAGCTGTTGACTCAGATCTATATAATGACCTCTCTAAGTTAAAAAAAAAACTTGCCAATTGTCAACAATATTTAAATCTTTAAATTTTTTTCTTCATTTCTATAAAATAAACACATTTATTAACAAATGGCTATCTGTTCATATAATATACCATGCATATAATATACCATGCTTATGGACCAGGGATGGCACTAACATAACATTATTATTTGGATACACAAGCATAGGTTTCTAAATTAATATTTTATCTCTAGATTTTCTAGAATGTTGTGATTTATACAAAATATAATAATTATGAAATGAGTCAATAATAATATAATATTTACCTATAACCATACCTAATGGTACATAATTATTCTTATGGCATTTTTAAAAATCATCTTGTTTGCACAGACAGTAAATTTGCTCTTTTTAGGACTGTGTTTTGCATCGAAGTGTACACCATTTGTTCCTGACCCAGTGGTGGGTTTTTTAGGTGTCTCTGTGGTCCCTCTTTATATTATTCATAATGTCTTTTTAATTATATCAATACATTACATTATATCTAAAAGCATATAATTTGTAACAAATTATAATATCAACTTCAAATACAGGTTATCAAATAAATTGAATAATAGTCATATGGCTATTTTTTTTGTTGGAAAAACTAATTATTTCTACAATATTGAGCCAGGTCAGTTTTAAGTAAATTAATTCTCTATATAATAATTTACAAGAAAATTCTTTACAAAACTAGGACATAAATGCATTAATTCAGTTAAAAAGAAACCACTTCTTAAAATGTGAAAATGACATCACACTCTCTTATCTTACCTCTCATCACAACATTTCAACTTCCCCACTCGCTAGAAAGTGTGACATCATTTATGGACAACCCCAAAAGTAATAAAACAAATTTCAAAAGTAATAAATAATACTCTAGATTGGCATGCTTTCTCTCCCGTTATAATAGTGTATTTCTATTAAAAAATGGGTATAAATATAATATGTAACATGTTTTGTGGTATTATTAAAGTTAAATATTGGACAGTTTAATCTAACATATACATATAGAACTATGTAACATAAATATACAGAATCAAGTACCACTTTTACACAATCATGAATTTTTTAGATGACATTTTTTGTTTGACTTACCATTTTGTTATGCATATCAATGTTTTTTTAATGACAAGAGCTAGTTAAAGAAATAAAATTTAAAATATAAATAAATATATGTATCTTTTAAAAACACTCTTCAAAACACATTAAGGCACCCCTTAAGACTAATTTTAAAAATGTTCTGCTTTTTTTTTTAAAATTACATTTAATTAAAGGACGGACTGATAGACCACTTCTTGAATTACAGGAATTAATTATAGGAATTGATTAATGTAGATGATTAAATGAATGGAGTACCTGACAGAAAATTAGAAAAGTAAAAAGTTGATCAGGGCCTATACAATCATAACAAGCAGTGTGGTTACAGTTCACAACCTTTGAAGAACTATATGAAGAACGTTTTATTTCAATACAATAAAGCTACACACGTTATTTACATCTACTAGAACATTACATTGTATTATAGATACAGCTGTTGCTCTACTAGAACATTACATTGTATTATAGATACAGCTGTTGCTAAGTCAACCTTGTCATGTTAAAAATTTAATATGTATAAAATTTTAACAATAATCAAATAACAATTATAACAATTAATAGTTACAGAATAGATAAAGACTAGAAAGAAAAATGTGTTCAAAATTCAACTAAATTACAATATATGTATAATTCAATGTGAACAAATGAAACTACAAGTAACAATTTTAACATTTTGTTCTGCAGTTTATTATTTGAATAAATAGTATATAAAAATAATATGCTATGGTACATCTTTGTTTCACTTAAAGTGATTCACACAGGGAAACAAAGTTATCCCTAGATGCAAAGTCTTTCAAGTTCTCAAAATTACAGAACCCATCCTTAGTTTTGCCCCTACAGAAAATAGATTCCTTCGTCACAACTCTGCCGTTCTGAAGAATTCTAATCACATGTTCGCCAGTGCTCTGTTTTTTGTACAGCTCAAAGACTATTCTAGAAGCATATCCTGGCCAGACCCCATCTTCAAGTTCTAAAGCTGAGATAAGAGGAGAGACAGTGGTATCATGGCCTGAATACAGATGGAATGCTGGGTTAGTGCCGTTCTCTATAGCAATGTTCAATTCTAAAACGATTCTGTAAATCAGACCATGCATGGCAATTTTAGAAAACTTTTTGTAGTTTTCATTTCTGTTCAAACAGCTGCTCTGGTAGTCTATGGGCTCCCAAATGGCTTCTAAAGTCTTGGCGGTGATGCAGGTGTTGTTGGCGTTGCATGGGGGTGGCATGTTATGGCAGGCGTATCCAGTTAAACTATCCATTATCGGAGATGGATACTGTAAATCTTTCGCTTTGAGATTCACCACTTCGCTTATATGATCCACAAGGTGACTATAACGTTTCATTATCACAGCGTACCCGGGCTCCATCCGGCATTCTCTGCCTGCCCGGTTTCTCGCGGTATCCACACCGGGGCATGTGCAGGCCCCATGCACGATCTTCTCCTCACAAAAATTGATATTCGATGCATGTTTTAGGTTAATTTTCCCAATTTCAAAGCTGGGGAGGAGACCGTACAGAAAAGCTACAGCACTTTGGTATGTCCTGGACACCTCTGTGCTGTAGGCAACCACTTTCTTTGGCCAGTTGGTGGCATCAAACAGCTGGTGCTGGTGGAAGTACCTCTCACTGTAGTGTATACCATTCAGGATCTGCTGGATAGCCCCTCTTCCAGTCAGCTGACCATCAGCACATATGGTATGGGACGGATACACTGACCATCTGGAAATAAAACAACACAACATTACATTCAAACTGTTGTCAAAATCTAAACAAAAAGATGTATTTTCTTATTATCTTGTTTCTTTTTTGTAATATTGGACAGGATTTTCTAATACAACAAAGGATTACATTCAAACTGTTATCAAAATCTGAAACAGATGTTTCTTCTTCATTCTTAACTATAATGTTGGACAGGAGTTCCTCTAACACAATTAAGTATTACATGTAAACATGTTAGGAGCCATATGACATGTTGACTCCCATTTAAGCCTGCTATTTTTTCTGGATTTGCCTCTATAGCCTTTGTCCATCCAACAACAACTACAATGTGGCAGATGTTTGATTTTGGAGTTGTCTCTCTTAGATGGGTTGGTGTCACCAGCTATCAGGCCTCACCTGCCCCAAGGTTTGAATGAGAACTTTTGGTGGTAAATAGATATGATATTGCTATCTCATAAAGTTAAAATTAGGTATAAAGTTGACAATGAGAATGTGATATGGTGTAGTAGATAGGTCCAGTTCACTAACACCAAAGATTTCTGAAAATCAATAGCTAACCCAGCTATCATAAATACATCTAAAGTAGCCAAGGAAATAAATAGACAAACTCTACTTCATCTGTCTGACACACCAGTTCATATCAACATTGTGTTTTACATTACACAATTTTTACTTTTAAGTAAATATTCTAAATAACGCAAAGAAATCAAACTTAAAACCTTTTGAAAGAATTATCCTTTGAGCGTTCCTCAGATGCTGTAGCAATTACATGGGGGTAGTTGGCCACTTTAGGAATGTGAGAAAATTGAGACACATCCAACAAACAGCTCATGTCTTCCCTCTGAAACCCAGGCAACCTGGATATAGGTGAGCGATCTCCGTGTCGTATAACAACATGAACATTTATCAGTTTATAATCATCAGATACAACACCTGTAAGGTTCAAGAAAAATACTTTAAGTAAAAACTGACATTTTAATAAATTACATGAATACAATCATGCGTAATCAATTACAAATTAGTAACAATTTTAATATTATTGCCCTAAATTAGGTTAAAAATGAAAAAAAGTATATACCTTCATCTCCCATTGGCTGGCTATTAGGAGGGTTACAGTACTTGGCTATTCTTGGTACAGTTAAAGGAGGTCTGGTATCTGTTCACAATTTTTAAACATAATAGAATTAATATTATATATTACCTAGAATTAGAATGCGCTTCTGCTTATGAAGTAGAGACAGAATTACAATGCTAAATAACTTATAAAGCAAAACTTTGATTATAACTTGATCACTTTAAGACAAAGGTTCAATTAGATTGCTTAATTACTTATGAAAAAGAATGTTAATTGTAATGTTTAATTATTTATGAATAAGTTAAATTAGAATGCTAAATTACTTATGAAGCATTTTAATTAGAATGATTGGTTACTTATGAAGCATTGTAATTAGAATGATTAATTACTTATGAAGTATTTTAATTAGAATGATTAATTACTAAAAAAGGACTGACCCTTGTGATAAAGTATTTTTTCATCTCCATTGCTGCCTGAGTTTTTAAAGTGGACAACATCATTAAGGTTGGACTTCCTTAATTGACTAATTAAATTGTGCTTGTAGATGACACTTTTGCTGTCATGTTTGTATAGCTCATTACTGAAAGCAACTGTTACAAAAAGTTTTAAACTAGATATTAAAAGAAATCAGGGTAGTCATAATAATATATTCAAACAGTTTTAAATTAAAATTTAATGACTACTATCTGAGATATTTATGTCATGACTTGTGTGATGATGACTTAATAATTATCGACAGTGAGGATTAAATAATTTAATTGTCATCAAGGTTTAATTAATCTTTCATTATAAAAAATGAACTTTTATGGAAGGATTAGTTGTCATTTTTTTAAAAACAGTGGTTCTTAACCTTTTTACTGGTAATGAACCCCACCAGTTTTTTATACACATTCGCCGAACCATTCTTAATAGTTTTATCGTCCAAATACACAAAATATGGTTGCAAATAATATGAGTCTGGTGTGTTTTGACATTCACTGAACCACTGAGGTATGATCAAACCCAAGGTTAAGAACCTCTGATTTAAAATATGTCAAGCTCTCCATCATAAAACCTTTGAATAAAATTGACATCAAAATATACTGACTTACACTTACGGATAAAAAATATGAACACTAGAGTCAAAATCCCAAAAATGATCACATTTTTTAAGCTCAACAAGCGGCGCAAACGTATATGATGAATCATTGCTGTGATGGAATGTGCTAGTTTCATCCACACTACATGACACTTGTTTTTCCTGTTTTTAAGAAATAAAAAAAAACTTATATAATTGCAATACCACAATGTTAAATTTAATTGCTTTCCTAATTCAGGCCAAAAATTAGACTAGGTGTACAGTCTAGGACTGATACCAATGAAGTTAGTTTAATTATTTTAATACAATTATTTAAGTAAGCCAACTAATTTTTAGTTATTAGCCTATTATAGTATAACTAAGTAATTAGGCCTAACTATTTCATATTTTACAGCTGCATCCTGATAGTAAGGGATAGGGCATAGGCCTATATTTAATTATTTATTTTTATATAACTTACAAGTATATAGGACCTAGATTAGATCAGAGTAGCCTAGGCTACTAATTATCAAAGTAATAGGGCCTATAGATTAGACTTTTATACCTATTAATTTTACCCTATAGGGCTAAGTTCCTATAATATATAAATAATAGACCCTATAGTCTCTATACTCTATCCGCCTATAGCCGCCCCGATAGGCCCTACAGAAAAATAGTTTTTAAATACTGTAGATTGGATAGGTCCTAGCCTAGATATTCAAGCATTTTCTGAAATTGAAATAATATTTTCCTTAGGCTATTCTAGATTGTGATCTCAGTCATTGAATCAAAATATTCAAAATAACATCAAAAGTTTTAATAAAACCGTTCAAACGAAAAACAAAAACTTTTCATTCATTTAACTCTTGGTCTTACTTATTACTTGGTAACTTGTCGGGTGAATCAATGAAAAAAAAAGTCTTCAGAAATTATTAGGACTGGCCTAAAACTGTAAACATTGCTAAGACAATTTAAAGTTCAACTTTAACACAAGAGTACTGGCTCAGTCAGTACACTGTATTCTAGTGTACACATGCAGGCCAGTACAAGACAAATATAATTATTAAAAAAATAAAAATCAAGCAGTCAGTGACACTGACAGTGGAGTACAGACAGTTCAGCATACTTTTTTCCTCCTACTCTCAAATGCATCAGGAATCTAAATGTCAAATGACGTATGCTACACATTATGCTATAAGTTGTTATATACCCATCAATGCCATCTTATTATTTCATCTATAGATCAAGAACAGATCTTGTATTTTGCTGGCTTGGGTAGTTGATGATCGAACCGTCATTGCCTTTTTTTTTTTTGCTCTATTCGGGTGTTTATCAAGGGGAGTCTACTATAATATAAAATTTTCCAAACAGAAAAGATCCACTTCGTTTTTCTGTTTCAGTTTATTAATTATTAATATCAACTTTTTTTTACAGTTCAACTTCTAAAATGTAAATGTAGACCTAAGAGAGAAAATGTTGTTATCTAACTAATTATTTTTTTCTTTAATCTATCCAAAAAAATGTGTCACTTTACAGCAATACAATGCCTATTAAAACTGGAAATTCAGTGGAAATGTAATAAATAGGTAAATATAAATCTAGGTTTTATAGGGCCTAACCCAAATAAAATATCGAACTTAATAATAATATAATCTAATTCAATTGCGACTTTGACTAACTACTGCTATCATTTGCCTATAATATATAGATCTAGTTTGTCTTAATTTAAAACATATAGACCTAGGCTCTATCAAACAATTTTCAAAAAAAGATGGTATAGTCATAGTATAATAGAAGCGAATTAACAGATTAGCCGTAAACATACCCATCACACAACACACATCGCTAAAATAGCATAAAGCCACCGACCGTTCTTATCTGCAACACAACGAAGCCTCGAACACAATGTCAAGACTGGCCGTAAGAAGAAAAATGTGTTTTAATCATTTACAACCCTAAATGTGTTTACCTTGGTGTCCCGATCCACACAGCACCTGGCCAGTGTACGGTAGGCAGCAGACTAACCGTACCTTGTTCGTTCGCGTTTTACCGTGGGGGGAGGGGGGGGGGGTGGACTCGCCGTTGTTTTAGCAATAATCGCATCAAAGGATTGCCTCAAATAAATATTTAAAACACACAAGGCGAGCCGGGAGAGCATCTTCTAACCCCTCCTCCTTCCCCCCTCCCCTTTCAACCACACATACTTACATAAGTCATTACTTTTTTTTAAAAAAAAAAAGAACAATGACTGTCTGCGGTGACATTTTTTAAAAAAAAATACACTACCCTCGCGAACTCAGGTCAGGGGCGTATAAAGTTATTTATGCAAGGTGGACGTGCCCTCTCCCCAACCATAAATGTAAAATTTCGACTTCATTTTTTGTACTCAAATTAACAATGTAATTTAATCCGATCAACGGTAGTTTATTAATGTGTAATTATTTTCTTTGGCCACTGTATTGCGTCTCCTCTGATTGATTAACTGTGTCAGTATTGTTACCCACCCCACAATTAACAAAGAAAACCATTTACTATAAGAAAGTCTATGGGTGTACTGTAATCTACCCAGTTGCCGGAAATCAGAAGAAATAGTATTTCCCACTATAAAAAGTGTCCGGGTGTAATCCACCCAGTTGCCGGGGACAGGGTACCAAATATGTTAAGTAGACGCCCATGTTTCACGTCAAAAATTTGAGTTCGCGTGTTCTGGTTCGATGCTTTGTGAACTTTGACTTTTCGAGTTACACTTTTTAATTTATTTTTTTTCAGTGTAGGCGAGTTCCTCATCCACAACGCCCCCCCCCCCCCACACACACACACCCTTACAGGAATGTATTGTTTCCAGCAGTGCTTCACAGCTTGCATCAATAATGTAGTGTAAGGCGGCGGCTAGGGTTGTTGATGGCAGCCACTTGATGAGATAATGAAAACCATCCAGTGGCGTCGCTAGGGGCTAAGTATGGGATGGGCGCAGACAATGGCGAGCGGCATTATAGTAGTAGGGTACGCAATTCGTGCAACTTTTATTTGTCTTGATAGGAAGGGGGTCATCCATAAATGACGTCACGCTTTTTTTGACGATTTTTACCTCCCCCCCCTCCCCTCCGTCACACGTCGTCACAAAAAGCCAGACCCCCCCCCCCCCCTAAAATGACGTTACACCTCAGCCTACAACCCCCCCCCCCCTTAAAATTGCAGTTGAATTTTTTTTTAAAACATCGATATTTTTCTAAAATCTTGTCTGAACTCTGTCAAAATAGAGTATTTTAATGAATTCCTATTACAATTTAGTAAAACAGTTTTCTAAAACGCGAAATAACGTCTAAAATTCGTTTTCTAACATTGCTTTTTTAGAATTCAAGAGTGTGACATCGCACCATCTTTACTCCCCCCCCCCCTTCTCCCCCCCCTTCTCCCCCTCATCACACACCGTCACAAAATTACGGACCCCCCCCTCCCCCCCCCCCGAGTGTGACGTCATTTATGGACGACCCCAATATAGAAAATAAAGTTGACCACACCAGGCGTGCCGGATAGTAGGGTCAAGACTAAACTAAGTAAATGAGATTGTTTCTACTGTGATTCATCGCAAAACTAAAGATGGGTATTAAGGCGCAAATCTTAAATTGAAGAAAATATTCTTCAAATCAATACTATGCTACAAAACACGCAGGGATTCTTTCAGATTTTTTCTCCGGATCGAAGGGGGGAGGGGGAGATTATGAAAATTGCGATAGTTTGGGGACACTACTATTTCGTCCTGGGGGAAAAAGTGGACGTGGTCAAGAAAAGTGTTCCCGGAAAGAGACACTCGACGCACACACAATGCTTACATAGTAATATATATATATATATATATATATATATATATATATATATATATATATATATATATATATATATATATATATATATATATATATATATATATATATATATATATATATATATATATATATATATATATATATATATATATATATATATATATATAAAGATAGAGAGAGAGAGATTAAAAAAGGAGAGTGCGCTTGGTTCAAGTATATTACGCAATACGACATTACCAGTTGAGTGTCCCTGTACTGATTATGCTTTCATCGTTAATTTAATCCCACATATTATTTTCTTCCGACCCTGAAACCAACTAGACACGTTCGATGCAAGCGTATTTTCTTTATTTAGATTATGAATTCCCGATTTTGATCTTTCACCCTCTCCCGAAGCCAGCGCCGGTCGACAAAAATAACGATAACTGCAGACGTTATATTCGAAGTTGTCACGATGTTTTAAAAATTTAACGAGTTCGCCGCAAGAATGAGACAATTATTTTTTTTTTACCTTTTTTTTCGTATTGCTTGATTAGAAGCTAGCCTAGTTCTAGAACAATCGACATTTTATTTATGGAAACGAACGCCCCTTATCGCTCTCAAGTCTCAAAAGGGTGAAAGGTAAGGGTGGATTGTTGAGGGAGGGTGCAAAACCTTCCTAAATCCAACCACCCCCACCCCAATTCATCCCAAAAAGAAAGTAGTCTAACGCTAAGATAACCATTGGCATCGTGTCGCTTAAAGCTTACAATTTCAAAATAACAACAAACAACAACCAATATTACGTTTTTAAAATAGATATGGAACACATTGGTGCTAAATGTATTGGCATATATATATATATATATATATATATATATATATATATATATATATATATATATATATATATATATATATATATATATATAGTACCAAGATGTAGACCTAATGAAGGAAGTTGGTTATATAAATTATGTTTTTTGTTAGAATACTTATTTGTGTATTCCTGCTAGTGCTGTATGTGCACACTAGTTAGGTTGAGTATTTATTTAAGTATTTATTGTTGTACTACTTATTGGTACTTGTTGGCAGTACTGTGTACTGGCCGCAACATATTTTATTGTACCCGTGTATGTTGTAGCCTACACGTGGTGTTATCATGAATGTAACTTTTTGTTTACATTTGTTTTAGGGTTACAGTCTTCTCTGTTGTTTTTTTTTTTTGGTTTTCCTGTTCGTTTGGTATTCATCAGTAATCGTCGTACTATTGTTGTGGTGAATAAAGCGAGTACTTGACAACAACTATCGGCGTCAGTGTGTTCTAAATCTCAGGGTCAGCCCGTCTTAACCACAACACCTCAGTGGGTAAAAGCATCCCCACTGAGGGAGGGTTATATATATATATATATATATATATATATATATATATATATATATATATATATATATATATATATCGAATATTGTAATATTGTCTATCACAAACGCTTATGGATAGAAACGTCATCCCTCCATCCTTGTGAAGATGGCTGTGTACTAATAGCCCGATAAAGTCTTTGGACTGGCCTTGGCGAGACGTAGCGACCCTTCCCGGCGCCCGGGGACAAACTTTTCATTTGCACCCCCCCCCTCAAACTTTCAATTTACACCCCCCTCAACCATTCAATTTATTTTTCCAACCCATTTTGGCGCCCCCTAAGGTCGGCGCCCGGGGACGTGTGTCGTCCCCCCCCCCTCGCTACGCTACTGGGCCTTGGCCCTGCTAACTTGTGGAGATGGCCTGTCAATTGTAGACATGGCCCACTAAGCTTGTGGATATGGCCCTACTGTTGTACGAAATGGCCCTGTTAACTTGTATAGAGGTCACTCTGTTCTGCCATGACCGTCCAGCGTACCGCATGTTTATTTTGTACAAACTTTGATACCCGATCAGAGTTTCTTCCAGGCATCTCTTCGGGGAGGCGAAGCCCCCACCCCGAAATTTTTTTACCGCCCCCCTCCCCCCCCCCCCCCCCCCACCCGAACGAAATGAAATTTATATAATTTATATAGAAAATATATACTTTTAACAGTGTCCGCTCCCCCGAAAGTTTCAAGTGCCCCCCCCCCCCCCCCCGGAGAAAAAAGTCTGGAAGAAACACTTTACCCGATCCAGCTGAAACATTGATTACCATCTGCTGTTTACCGCTAATAGGTTTAGAACATCGCTAACAGATGTAGCTCCAACGCCTCAGATTCTATGTTGACTACTAATACGGTTTTAACACATACATTGATTATTTCTGTGTTGACATTTGCAAATTATCTGCTTAGCCCTTTAAAATATCAATTTATTAAAAACTTGTATTGTTATACAGCCAAAAAAAAAAAAAATGAACGAATTTTTCGAGTTAATTTTAAGTCTGTTGTTAATAAATCAGAATTATCGATCCTAACTCTCTGGGTTATCTTTCCATCGACCAACCTCTGCATGTTTTTGTTAACTTTTTGTGATATTGTGTAATATTGATTTGAAAAATAATTGTTTAAAGTGTTTGACGATTCGTCCCCTTGATACAAGATTTTACAAAGGATTAGAGAAGAGTGAATGTGAGTAGGGGGTGATATTAAGGCTATTTGTGAGTGACGGTATGTGACGCCGTGGTCTAGCGGTAGAGCGCTAGACAGCTGACCTTAAAGTCTTGAGTTCGTATCAGGGTTAAAATTAGTAGAACTTCCCTGAGCTCACCCAGATTTGATGGGTACCTAACTCACGTTAGGGAAAGTAAAGAGGACTGGGCATAGTGTTGACCACACTATATCTTCATTTGTTGAGGTCACAGAAACAGGTGAACTACTTCACATGCTCCATGGACCGTCAGATTAAATAAACCGGGAGTGATCTCCCCTAAATTAAAAAAAAAACAGGGGATGGGAACTCGGGATATAGACATGAATTTTAATCCATTTAAAATACTTAAACTTTTTAAAATAGAATAAAATCTCGTAGAAAAAAGAATTGCACAAATAAACGCCAAATAAAATGTGCATAATAGTGCGCAATATTATTAGTGCTTTATAAATTAACATGCGTTTTTTTTTTTGAGAAATTGGAAATAGCGACAATTACTACTTCCGGTTATCGGAAATCACTCAAAAGTTGATACGGATCTACGATTTTGATAAAATACTTAGCTGTAATTGTTCTCAAGTTATCGTGTTTACAGACACACAGACATACACACAGACATACGCACAAGATTACAAAATTATGTTTTTCCGTATCAGTGAGGTGTAAAACGTCGAGATTTCCAAAAATCTCTTTTTTTTTTTGCACGATTACAAGACTTTCTCTATACTTTGTATATACGAGAAAGTAAAAAGGGAGCTTTATATGAGTGAGGGTCGGGGGGGGGGGGGGGGAGGAAGCTGATATTAAGACTATATATGAGTGAGGTATAAGATACGTGTGAGGTTGTATATTACGTGTGTTCTCAAACAGACAAGCAATACATGAGATAACACTGAATCAATTTCAGCTGTTAAACAAAAAGTACTCATGTAAGACATGAGTTTTGTGGGACGGTCAGAGAGAGGGCGTTGTGTGTGGAGTACAAGCAAACAACAACAGAGCTGATCGTATCGGATGTTTACTTTTGGAAGGTTTACCTGTAACATGCGGTCCTATTGATGGGTACACCCGTGTTCCATGATCCAATAACGTTTTATATGATGCGATAAGTCTTGTACCGTGCCAGTGTCAAATCGTTCATAATGCCGGTTTATTTGTGTTTAAATGTATATATATATATATATATATATATATATATATATATATATATATATATATATATATATATATATATATAAGTGTGTGTGTGTGTATATATGTGTGTGTGTGTTGTAATGATTATATATTAAAAATTGACGTAATTAAGGAATACATTTTCAACTTGGAGTGGGAGAGTACTCAAACAAAAAAGAAAAAAAACTGCGAGTCATCGCCCTTGAATCCGACCAGCCAAGAAGCAGGTTAATGAACGCATCAGGCTGTGAATAATTTACCGAGGCACCGCGACGTGCCGTGCCAAAGGTGAGTACCTCACGCAACCGTTTCAAACATGGCCTCTGGCCGTGTAAACAAAAGGCTCCCGGCTCACGCCCGGGGGTGTCGACCCGGTGAGGGTTGGGGTGAAGATACAGTGGGCGCACCGTCATTTATTTAGTGTAATCTCAGTACAACTGCACAGGCAGGTGCTATTTTTAAGATTACAGTACTCTAAGTGGGACTAAATGGTTGGCCTATCCTTGAGTGTACTTTTATGTGATACATAATATATATATATATATATATATATATATATATATATATATATATATACATACATATATATACATGTATATATATATATATATATATATATATATATATATATATATATATATATATATATATATATATATATATATATATATATATATATATATATACATGTATGTATATATATACGCACATGTATTTATATACATGTATATATGTAGACCTTTATATATATATATATATATATATATATATATATATATATATATATATAGCGTCGTGCATTTCTGCGTGTATACACCTGCGAATGAGTATGCGTGCGTGTTCCGCAATGCGTATCTAGGTACTACATGTAGAAACAACTTACAGAAATAAATGGCTGCAATAAAAACCATTTTAGTGCTGTTCATTTAAAATCATCAAAAAACAGGAAGATTTTAAAAATAATTTAATTGTAAATGCGTAATGGATTTATGTACGTTGAGGTCAGAGCAATCAACACTTCATTTTAATGAGATGATGTGAGATCGTGTTAAACCTCATTCCTCTTTGGTTCCGGAAATGGACCTGAAAATCCCAGGGGCAGTAACTCGCCTGTGGTCATCTTCCTATAGGTCCGGTCTGGTTTAGTCATGTACACATCAATGTCACAGCCAAACTGGACAAAGGGAACATACAAAATTATTTGAAACCTTAAAGAATATTTGCCATGAAATAGAATGATGGGAATGAATGTAATAGCGGTCTTGATAGTGTAAAAACATTGAAAAGTTTCAAACGGACGTTTTTATATTTAATTTCCAGTTTTCTTGTTTAAAATTCATTATTAACAAAATTTTAACTGTATAAAAATTGAACTTTTAGTGTGTGTTCGTAGGTTTGTGTTTACGTGTGTTTTTATGGGTGTATATGGGTGTATGAAGGTGTATATGGGTGTGTGTGTGTATTTGTAAGTGCGTATAAGTGTAGGTAGATGTGCATGAATGTGTGTGTGGTAATGTGTGTGTCTATGGATTTGTATGTGTGTGTATTGCTGTGTGTGTGTGCCTGTGTTTGGAGGGACAGGAGTGGGGAGCAGGATTATGGATTAAGACAATAAACCATTAGCTCAGCTTGATAAGAATCGATTGACAGACGTATGTTTAGTGACCCACTAAACGTTGGCTTTATGTGCTGGCACGTCAAATAACCATGTTAACCCTTTATGTCCTGGATTATCTTCTTTCCCTATTCTAGAATGTTAAAAATACCCATGTTAACCCTTTTTGTACTGGATCATGCTCTTTTTCAGTTCTGGAATGTAGCTATCCATGTTAGTCTTAGATGGTATTAATAAAGTAGTGTTTACATTAATGGTAACATAAATACAATATGTTCTTTTATTCAATAAGGCGCATTTTTAAACATAACCACGGCAATAGCAACAAGTAAAGAATTAGTTTACAAGTTAAGTTTAAGTTTTCAGTAAAAAGTAAAGAGTAAGTTTCAAGTAACAAGTAAAGTTTAAGTTTCCGGTAAAAAGTAAAGAATAAGTTTCCAGTAACAAGTAAAGCTAAGTTTTCTAACCTCGTACATAAACTGCCTGCAACCACCACAGGGTGATATGAAGTCAACTAGGTTCCTGAAGATGACATACATCACATATCCATTATACATACACGCGCACGCACACACACACACACACACACATATATATATATATATATATATATATATATATATATATATATATATATATATATATATATATATATATATTCATATATATTCATATATATATATATATATATATATATATTCATATATATATATATATTCATATATATATATATATATATATATGAATATATATAATACATATGTGTGTGCATGTATTTATGTATATATATATATATGTATATATATATATATATATATATATATATATATATATATATATATATATATATATATATATATATATATATAAATATATATATATATATATATCTATAATATAAGCGGGCTGTGTCTGTCCTTCCTTCCTTCCTTCCGTCCGTCCGTCATCGCTATAGATTTTGGGACTATAAAAGTAAACATTCGCACCATGCTGTGCTTTTCAGTGCACCGCAGTGTCTTATTATAAGTAATAGAGTAGGGTTTGTTTATATAGCGGCATAGAGCTATTTTAAAATTGCCACGGTTTTTACTCTTTCGCATAACGTCAAGAAAATATTAAATACACGCAAACTGCTAAAACGTATTAAAAAGATTAATGTCAAATATCATTTTCGTTTAGGCTCCCAGAAAAAGTGGATACATTTTAATAACATAATAACAGTAGGGTAGAAAAATCAAATTAATTTAACTCTTTTCTAATTTTGACAAAGGAGGTAATTTAAAAATACATTAAACTCACGCTAATAAAAAATGTGAATGCAAATATACGTTCGTCATAGAAGGAATTAGTGTTGCAATAATATAATTAGCAAAATGTGAATGCAAATTATTCGGATGTGTAAGAGGAAATTATTGTTAGAAAATTATAATTAGCATGGATTGATAAAAGGCAATCTTTTATTTATTTTATTCACCGAATGTAGGCCCTACTGTTTATTACTTATAATTTTTAATCAACTATTCAGCACTATTATAGGCGCGTCATCACGTTCATTAGGTGCGCAATGGTTTTAGTTATGAAACTCAATTGTAAATTTTTAAAATTTAAAGTACTGGAAAAAAAATATGCGTGAATGGATAAAGTGAAATATTGTAGGTAAAACACGGATATTTTAAATACTGCCTATTATTTATACTGTTTTCTAATTATTTTTCTGTCGGTTTGCGGACAAGCTAGGGGTTTTATAGGAGAGGCGTTGCGATGGGGGGGGGGGGCATATGTCCCCGGGTGCCGACCTTAGGGGGCGCCAAAGTGGGTTGGAAAAAATTTGCGAGGGGGGGGGGGGGGGGTGGAAATCGAAAGTTTTAGGGCGGGGGGGGGGGGGAAAGGGGTGCAAATCGAAAGTTTGAGGGGGGTGCAAATCACTGGAAAGGGCGCGATTAGGCGCAACGGGCTAGACTGTGAGCAATATGCCTTTATGATTGCATTTAAATTGTGTTTATGTTATGAGTGTTGTGTTTGTTTTTTCGTTGTTTTTTTTTTTTTTTTTTGCGTTCGTTTATGTTGTGTTTAGTTTTGTTCTGTTCCCAAGTTGGTACATTTAAAAAATATTTACCGTGGCGGAGCACGGGATGCAGCTAGTATATATATATATATATATATATATATATATATATATATATATATATATATATATATATATGTGTGTGTGTGTGTGTGTGTGTGTGTGTGTGTGTGTTTGTGCATATATTTGATTTTTGTATATAGTGCATTACGTATATAGAATTCAAAATGTAATTTTTATTACTTACGAGGCAATAGAGATGGCTTTGAAATTTTGGTGACCTTCAGACACGGCCTTGACAATGACTGCCCTCTCGGCGCATACAGTCAGACCGTAGGAGGCATTCTCGACATTACATGCTGCACGGGGGAGAGATACATTCATTTGCATTACATCTTACAGAGGGGAGAGATATATTCATGGTCATTACATCTTACATTGAGGAGAGATATATTTTGTTCATTACATATTACATTGAGGAGAGATATATTCATGGTCATTACATCTTACATTGAGGGGAGATATATTCATGTTCATTACATCTTACTTTGGGGAAAGATACATTCATGTTTTTAACATCTTACATTGGGGAGAGATACATTCAAGTGCATTACATCTTACACAAGGGAGAGATATGTTCATTTTAATTACCTCTTACATGAGGGAAAGATACATTAATTTTCATTACATCTTACATTGGGGAGAGATACATTTATGTCATTACATCTTACAAAAGGGAGAGATAAATTCATGTTTGTTACATCTTATATTAGGGAGACATAAATTAATGTTTGTCACATCTTACTTATGGGGAGAGATACATTCATGTTCAGTACATGCTACTTAGGAGAGAACTTGCATCATGGACTTCATGACATCCTACATTGGGGAAAACTACATTTATGGACTTAACTAATCCTCTTCTTAATAACATCCTACTTACGTCTCTGCTGTGGTTAGTAGGTCTTCAGCTAAGTATGACAGCGCTTGTCCTACCTTAAAATACACCTGAAACTCTACCTGTAAATATGTGTCCATCTGACGTCAGAAGTGCGGCACCAACACGGATCCTGCTGTATGGACAGTAGGAATGTTGTCTCGCTTCCAGACTTTTCTGTATCAGCTCTTCCACAGACATACCGTGTCTAGCGATCACATACACAACATATAAATCGACCTCTTGTCGTACACATACAACACAACACTATGATATAACCCATCCCAACATACATATAAGGTTATATAACATCTCCATCCCTTTTGAAGATTTCTAGATATTCCCCCTTCCTTATCATGAGCTGAAAAAACTATTGGTCTGTACGATTTTTTGAGATGAAGATTTCTTTGAAGAACGTAGTCAATTTATATTTATATTCTTTATATTCTCACCTGATCATTTAATTTATAATTTTATAATTTTAATTTATTTTTATTTTTATGAAACTCGCGTTTATGAGGTTTCATTTTATTCTTACTACCATCTTATATAGTAGAAATGTAGTCAGCAAAAGGCTGGCATATACCGCTCAACACCAGATAATGTAATACAGAAGTATTAGGCAGAGGCGTAGCGAAGGGGGGGGGGGCAGGGGGGTACATATGTTCCCGGGCGCCGACCTTAGGGGCGCCAAAATAGGTTTGAAAAATAAATTAAAATCTCATTTTAGCTGCATTTTTGCAGTATATATATATATATATATATATATATATATATATATATATATATATATATATATATATATATATATATATATATATATAGTATATGAGGGGGTGCAAATAGAAAGTTTGAGGGGGGGGTGCAAATCGAAAATTGAAAGGTTGATCCCGAGGGGGGCGCCAAATTGAAAGTTTGTCCCGGGCGCCGGGAAGGGTCGCTACGCCTTTGGTATTAGGCCTATATAGTGTGTGCTTAATTCTTTACTTACCTTGCTAAAAAAAACGGAAAACTCGTTTAGTGTGTGGAAGGGGAGGGTGTGTAGCCTATAACATCGGATTTTTCCGCAAACAATTTTAAACGTAATTTATTTAATCTAAATTAGTTTTCTGGCTAGAAAATATACTTTAGATTAGGTTTTTCATTTAGCTCCTTGTTATATGAAACGTGTTTCATTATCACACCTGGCTTCCACGTTTCATTTTGGTATTTAGACCTACACTACCTGTTTGAATGGAAACTACTTTTCGTCGAAGAAATACGTGACGTAAACCATATGACGTATTTAGCTGGCTGACCTCTGACCAGTACTTTTTTTTCCAAGAAAAATGTGTTCATTTTCTTGTAATAGTTAAACCGTAATTTTAACCAAGTTTCAATGTAAAAAAAAAAAAAAACGATTGTTCTTTATCCGTTGCTTGCCGTCTATTGGTCAGTATTTGATACCTTAACAGATTCCGAGTTTTGGTTAGATTTTGGTTAAAGTTAAATTTATACAGCGGTTAACCGTGATATATATTTAAAACATAAAAGTTTGAGTTGGCTGGATCAAGTGTTATAAGTAAGAGTTAAATGTAGATTAGTGTAAGGAGTTAGGTTTATAATATGATCATTATATCTCACATGACAGGTTAGGTGATGGCTGATATTCAATAGGCTAAACTACATAGATCTACGTATTGTATGCAATTTTGACTAAGGAACCAAAAACTAGTAATTGTGTACGTTCATTAATAAATGATATATAATCAATAATCTTACATCTTTGATGTCTCTGTAGTGATTACAGCAATAATCTTAATCCACAAGACAATTAATCTTTTTGGGATAAGCTTCAGAATGTTGATAATCTCGCTAATACGATTAGAGGTGTATCGCTTGATCGTACAATCCTTGCCGAGAATTGAAGCCGATCGATATTTCAAGCTAATCGAAGGCTTGATTTAGTTTCTGATCTATTTAATTTGTAGGGTGAATGGAATGCCACCTGCATACGTTGTTATATGTGTTGCATTTTTGTCGCGACGTGCGTCATAGTTTGGGTCTATAAATAGATACAAACCCGGATGTAGGCACAGTAAACAAATACAATTTGTTTATTTGACTGCAATATTGTTTTTTCAGGACTCTTTTCGGAGGGGGGTAAATGGGTAAAGGGGGCAATCTTAAACTTCTGGATTGGGGGAGGGGAGGGGTTAAGGTATGATGATGTGCAATGTGTAGGAGCAGACACTCTTTACAGTATATGCATGTCCTATATAATTTTTCTTAACTTCGTCATCGTGATTCGAACTCATGCATTTTCAGTTGATGATGAAGTGGAGGCCGCCTGTTTTCAATGATGTCACGTGACCCGTAGAATACGCTATGATGGGCATCTTTTTTTTTCCTTCTCTTGACCTCAGCCATCAGTACTGTTAGTGAGTACTCACTCCCGCCACTGCAGTTCCAGATGTTGGCACACAGCACTAAATAAAATAGCCCCACTCCACTGCCCCTACAAATAAGCCTGTTTTGGTTGTTTATTGTTCGTAGACCAGCTATAGGCTAACAGTAGAGTAACCCAACTCAAAAATATAAACACCATAGATGCTGAGATAGTTTTTAAAATTTTATTCTTAAAAATAAAACGTATACTTTTTTTTTTATTTACAATAAAGAAAGATATAGAAAAAAGAGGGATTAAATATTGCTGAAAAAAAATTCAAATCGGTTTAAGTTTACAGTAATTGTTAATAATTCTGTGCGAAATAAATCCCTTAGTTGTTATCCAAGAAACGTAAGCAGGAAATTTCATTCATATTATTTTCAGCTATGGTTACCTCCCTTTAAATAATGTCGTCAACGAAATGTTATCTCTACTTAATTTAACCATTTTTGTTGTAAAAAATAATTCGAATTAACAAAATGTTTTAATTGGAATTTTTTTTTTTAATTGTAAATTGTATCATCAGTGTAGGTCAAATCACAGTATTAAAACAAATTTAAAAAGTAAGTGCAGTATTATGAATATACGTCTATACGAAAAAAAAACAGCGAGATTTAGATTCGATATTCTAAAATCTGACCCCGTATCTTTTGTTGGTGTTCATATTAATGACGTATAATTATGTTGGAATAAACATAGTGTAGCACTTCGTGACAAAAATAAAAGTAAATGTTCATATTTAAATTTGACACGAACTTACATTTCAGAATTGAACTAGTAATTGTTTCTTATAAGGTTATAAAAACCAATATCAATTTGTCATGTTTTTTTAATTGATTTGAAACATATCCAAGATTTTTCAGACTAATTTATTATAGAAACTTACTTTAATAATATTCAATGTTGGTTTAAATCTTTTTTTATTTTACCATGTCGGAATATGTATATTTAGGCCTTGATTTTTTTTTCCAAATTTACACCGTTTTCGAAATTCTCTTTAAATATAATTTTGGTTAGAAATGTATTACTTCCCCTTGTCACCCACTTGAAAATAAGGTTATTCGGTTAAAATAATGTGCATGTCTATTTAATAATTAGAACCGTGATCGTATTGAGACGTCCTTATTAATGACAAATACAAATTAACAATGGCGTAAAAATAATCAAATTTTATAAAATATAAATATTAAAATATAAAAAAAGTATTGTATCATAGATAGGAATACTTAATATATTGTTTCTGTACAGAATATATCACTGCTGTAAACAATAGATAAACAACATGCAAACAATAAATATTGTTGTAATGCTTTCACTTTTTAAAATTAAATAAACTGAAGTTTGGTTGGTTTCCATTTAGGGTCGTAGGTGACCTTAGGACGTATTTATTTTTCTTACGTGGTATCAACCCCCCCCCCCCTCCGCACCATGCTTGGATGATGTACTGGTACGTGGTATCACCCCCCCCCCCCCCCCATCATACTTGAGATATTTATTGGTTTGTTGGTATCACCCCTCCCACCCACCCCCATCAAGTAATAGTGATAATTCTAAAATAGAGGTTGGCGAATATTCCAAATTGCGGTGTATCCAGCCAAAGAGCGCTACAATACACTTGAAAAACTGGTTCCAAATGGTTCCAAATTTTTGTTGCCAGAAAGCGTATTTTCAACCAAATATTGAATACTTTATAACATTTGTGTAATAAGTACAAAATTACTTCCGGTTTCATTAAGGCTAGAAATGGTCACATTAATAATTGCCAATAATATAATAGTAATTTATCAAACACTTTTTTATTTGGATTAGTAGAGTCAGGGTGTTGTGGTGATAGGGGATGTTATATTATTTAATGTAAATACAACACTACGCTCTGCAGTTATACACCATAAATCAGTATTGTGTATTTTTATCATGGAGAACAATTGTTCGAACTTTTTTGTTTACACTCCCTCGCCATTCCGGTTGACTTCAAGGAGAGCTTGAGGGCAGTTTTGAAAATATTTGGATTGAAAAAAATAATTCTAAACGGCTTTTCAACGGCTTATATTCGATACAGAAATATAAAAAGGAGTGTAATCGATGGTTCCCAAACGGCTTTAATTTTTACAAATGTAACTTAAATTTTAACCCTTGCCATATTCTAAAAAGATTTTTTCAAACATTTAGTATAATTAAAAAGACTTTTCATGCCTATTGTTGAAGTGTCAAACTAAAATTATTACTCCTTGCGTGACTCTCATGAGTTCAATATTCAGATTTTAAACCTCTATTCATTTCCTTTTAAATAACCACAAAATTGAAAAAAAAAAAAAAACGATTTTTTATATTTTTCCTCCGGGCTAAAACTTGCCACCCCTCACCCACACACCCAAACGTCGTCCCACATCGTTCAACACTTTAAAAACGTTTTGGAAACCACCAAAGTCAGTCATATCTGTCCAGAAGATACGGTAGGCCCACTGATGCTAAATGTACATTGCGTGTTCAACAATTTTAAATAAATATTTAAAAAAAAAAGAGTTATCAAAAATATTTTGCATATTGATAATTCCTGTGAAATGTTTCATAAAATATTCTTTCCAACGATATTTCTAAATATATTTTTTGTCAAGGTATGGACGGATCTCCTGGGGATCATGGATGCTTAAAACCTCCCCCTCCCAATCCCCTCTCCTAACATATTTATTTTATAGATCAAGTCCTCTCCTCCATAAAAAACTAAAATTATTACCCCCTGAAAGTAAAATAATATATAAAGCACTTGTTTTATAATATTAGATTATAGAAATACGTTATATACATACAATCTGTAATATTATACGTGCACATAAAAATAAATTCGGTGTAAAGCACAGGTTTTCTTTTAGACTTGGTGTTAATATTGAGCGTCGGGTTAGCAAAGGTTAGATTTTAGCGATGGAATACCAAACTGCATTGAGGGTTTAGAAAATAATAACTATTAAAAACTGTATTACTTGATTTAGGATTAGAGTGTATAAACCGTTAAAAAATTGAGTAGGTTAGAATGGTTTAAACTTGCAGTCTGAAGAATATGATTATTTTTTAAACTCAACGCCAAAGAGAATTTTTTTGTGTGATTTGCTGCTTCTATTACCCTACACCAAGCAATAGGAAAGATGCGCAACGGAAAACTGCGGACAAAAAAGTCCAAATGGGCATTATTGTTATTTTTAATCGAGCATTCGTAGACCTTAATAAAGAGTGACTACATGTACATTGTAGCATTATAAACATATAAGAAATAAGACAATATTAAAGTGTATTAGTATAATTAGTTTGTATTTGCGCATTTTCTGTTTTGCGCAGTTCTCCGTTGCGCAATTTTTCGATTGCGCATTTTTTTTCTGGGAACCCAAGTTACACCTTAGTAGTTACGGCAATGTATCGGATAAGATTTAGTATCCAGGACCCATGGGAGTTATCTTTGTAACACCATCAGCACTTGAACACCCCTCTACTGGCACGACCTTTTCATCAGAAAACCCATGAGGGGTCACAACCTCCCCGCTTGTGCACCCCTCCGATGACACCACCTCACCGTTGGAGAACCCCTGGGTGGAGAGGGTGTCCGAGCTTTTCGAGCCAGGGGCGTTGCTCATCTTGTCCCAGCCGTTGAACCTCTTGACGACCTGCCGGCCGGGGGTCTCTCCCCTGAAGCACTTGAGCTGAAGCAGGATGCAGATAACGAGGACGAGGCCGCCCACGGTGCACAGGCCAGCGACCACGCCGGTGATTTTTGTCTGCATCGTCACCACGTAGGGAGCCGGGATGTCTGGGGAAGGGGGAATGTATAGGCTAGTGGCTATGGTGGCTGATGGTTTTACTCACTTACGCACACACTTACACACCTACACACACATACAGGGAGAAAGACGTGGCCGCAAGTCAATTACCTCTCCCTTCATTTTTTTATAATCCACCTGAATATTACCCCATCTCCCCCCCCCCCACATCAACAACATCCTTTAAATAATCTACAAGTATATTATCTCCATCCCTCTCCCAACTGCATCATCTACCCCCCCCCCCCCTTTGAATAATCCACATGTATATTACCCCCAAAACCACCAAAGAACAACTGCAGAAGTTTTTTTAACCTTTTGTATATTACCATCGGTCATTTAGAGATATACAGGTATATGGTTAGGGTTAGGGTTTAGAATAGGGTTTGGGATAGGGTTTGGACTAGTGATAAGATATATGGATACAGTAAGCGATAGTGAATATGGAGATGGATAGGGAAAGTAAATATGTATTCCGAGGGTGGGGGGGGAGAGAATTACCATGTGCGGTATTTGACAGGAGTGTAATTGACACCGGGGTGGGGGGAGGAAATGGCCTGCTCCAATATACACATACATACACACATATATATATATATATATATATATATATATATATATATATATATATATATATATATATATATATATATATATATATATATATATATATGCATATATATATATATATATGTGCATATATATATATATATACTTCAATATACATAATATGAAAACAGTAAACCCTTGTTGCCAACACAAAGCCTAGCCTGTGATCTACACACCCGTATCCTGACACAGATAGTTCTGTGGGGTGGAGCAGTTGACGGTGTCCCACATGTAGTCGAAGTAACGTATCCGGGCACAGTTGACGCCATTCTCGTGGTCTGTCGAATGGAAGAAGGTTAGTTTAAGTAAAATTATAACACATTATATGATAACCAGAGAGATCTGAGTTATATTTTTGTTAATAATTAGTTCTGAATAGATAATAGATAATAGTGGCAATAAAAATAATAATGATAATAAAAATAATAATAATAATAATAATAATAATAATAATAATAATATTAATAATAATAATAATAATAATAATAATAATAATAATAATAATGATGGTAATAATAATAATAATAATAATAATAATAATAATAATAATAATAATAATAATAATAATAATAATAATAATAATAATAATAATAATAATAATAATAATAATAATAATAATAATAATAATAATAATAATAATAATAATAATAATAATAATAATAATAATAATAATAATAATAATAATAATAATAATAATAATAATAATAATAATAATAATAATAATAATAATAATAATAATAATAATAATAATAATAATAATAATAATAATAATAATAATAATAATAATAATAATAATAATAATAATATTAATAATAATAATATTAATAATAATAATAATAATAATAATAACAATAATAATAATAATAATAATAATGATAATAATAATAATAATAATAATAATAATAATAATAATAATAATGATAATAATAATAATAATAATAATAATAATGTTATTGAATAATGGTAACAACATTAGGACATCTATAAATATATTTATAAACTTCAATCGGGGAATATTTTGTCTCGCAGGGGGGGGGGGGGGGGGGGGGAAGGAAAACAATGTCCTGATGGAAGAGGGATTATGTCCAGGGGGTTATTGACCTGGAGTCATTGTATAAACAATCTAAACAACTGATGTGAAATCGTTTTAAGAAAACTTTAGAACGCCACCACAAAAACTGTGTCATATTAATATTTTAAAATATATGATACATTTTAGTTTTAAGTTTTTACATAGGTTTTTTTTTTAGTTTCACGAAATAATAGATAGTACCTAAAAAGTATAAGAAACATCACCAAAAAAAATGGGACGGAGTGGTCTAGCGGTAGAGAGCTGAACTCGCCTCTTTGTTACAAGATTTGATAAAGGATTGGAGAAGAGCGAAGGTGAGTAGAGGTAATGTTAAGGCAATGTATGGCTGGCGGTAGGGGGAGGGGGAGAAAGATGAGTGGAAGGAGATATTAAGATTATATGTGAGCGATGGTATGGGACGCCGTGGTCTAGCGGTAGAGCGCTAGATTGCTGACCTGAAAGTTTCGAGTTCAAATCCGGGTTCCAGTCAGTAGACCGTCCCTGAGTCCACCCAACTCTGATGGGTACTTAACTCATGTTAGGGAAAGTAAAGGCTGCTGGGCATAGTGCTGAACACACTATCTCTTCATATGCCGAGGTCACAGAAACAAGTGAACTCTACTTCACTTACCCTATAGACCGTCAAGTTTGAAAGGGGAACTTTACTTTTACTTTACAGAAAAAAAAAATTTAGTGCACGGAAACCGCGTTTTCGTGATAGTAAGGTAAAGACGTTTAACAAACGCTACTTTACGGCTCTATAACTAAAGGTTTGAACGTGTCTTATAAAAAATTTAAGTGAAACATCATGCATGAATATTTAGAACGGAACAATAACACCTAGAATGGAGTACTTTGAAAAATTGTCGGTTCATATCTTAAAAGGTGCTTTAAAAGTGCGTCTACAAGAAAGCTATTAAACATTTACATGGATAATGCTCAGAGAAAAAACATTTTAACAATATAAAAAATGAACATGGAAAACTTCTAAAAACCTACATTGATAACCAGTGTTTATTTCAGACTTTTTTCTCCGGGGTGTGGTGGGGTGAGGGGGCATTTAATATTATCCGAGGGGCGTACACTGGTAAAAGTATATATTTCCTATATAAATTCAATTTCGTTCAAGGATAGACTTTTTCTTCGGGGAGTGGGGGGGGGGGGGGGAGCCCCCAAAGAGATGCCTAAAGGAATCCCTGTGGATAACAATCAAGAAAGTACATGGATAACCAACCTACCTGAGAAACCTACAGCCCAATACCAAACCTACCTGGGAAAACCTCGGCACAGTTGGCATAGACAACCTAAAAACCTACCTTGATAAACAACCAACCTACCAGTAAACCTACAGCCAAGTAACCAACCTACCTGGAAAACCTACAGCCCAGTTGGCATAGACCACCTCACTGTCGTCCACCCACGTGAGCCGGGTAGTGTTGTCCACACCTTTAAGTCCCAGCCAGACAAACCTGGAAATCATTGGTCAAACATTTAGCGGCTATCAGCATAAGAATTCATGTGTCAAACATTTAGCGGGTATCAGCACAAGAATTCTTTGGTCAAACATTTAGCGGGTATCAGCACAAGAATTCATGGGTCAAACATTTAGCGGGTATCAGCACAAGAATTCTTTGGTCAAACATTTAGCGGGTATCAGCACAAGAATTCATGGGTCAAACATTTAGCGGGTATCAGCACAAGAATTCTTTGGTCAAACATTTAGCGGCTATCAGCACACGATTTTCATTGGGTGAATGTAAGATCTCAACTGTGCAAGTTGAAGGAATGTTAAACAGGTGTTAGAATGTTACATTTTATCACTGACATTAGGGGGTCGGCGAGGTCGAGTCGGTTGCTAAGTCTCGAGTTCGAACCCTCGTGCAGATGAGGCACGTTAACTAGGGACAGCCACTCTTCTAGGAGAGACAACTCCAAAATTAAACAACTGCTGCCTTGTAGTTTGTTCTTGGTTGGACAAAGGCTATGGAAGCAAATCCAAAAAGAAAAGGCTGAAATCTGAGTCAATGGCCTCATTGGCCCATAACAAGTTGACACGTTTATTTAATTGTGTTGGAGGGGATCCCTTCCAACACTAAGATTAAGAACAAAGCAGAAGAAAAAGATCACTGACATTTATGAGAATGTTAGATTTTATCACTGACATTTATGAGAATGTTAGATTTTACCCTTGACATTTATGAGCATGTTAGATTCTATCCTGACATTTTTGAGAATGTAAGATTTCATCACTGACATTTGATAAAATGTTAGATTTTATCGCTGACATTTATGAGAATGTTAGATTTTATCACTGACATTTATGAGAATGTTAGATTTTATTATTGAATGTTGTGAGAATGCTAGACCTTCACACAGATTCTTGAGGTAATTTAAAACTGTATGTAAATTACTAACTATGAACGAGTGGAAACTTAGGATTGAAAGTTTTCAGATATACCGTTAGGGTCATTGTTTCTGGGACGATACGAGTCAATTAAGTAATCGAATACGTTATTGGCGTTATGTTTGAGTCCCGCTAATTCTTAAATTAAACTTTAATCCAAAGCTCCCTCTAACCCCAGCTTGAAGCATAAGCCTAATACCTAAAATTTCAGTTTATAACTTTGTTACCAATGGTACACATTATACTAATATGCGTGTAAGCAATGCTAAAAACTTTAGGGTTAAAGTCAGCAACTACCTAACATAACATATTTTAACGCGACACACACAGTAGAAATATTCATAACGTTGAGATGAGTAACTATGGCGACAAAGTCACGCTTCATCTGATTCAATGCTTGCGACTTGCACATGAAAAGGTCTTATTTTGGTGCGCATAACTTCACGTGCAAGTTAAATGCGTTCCTTAGATATCTTAAAAAGGGAACGAGAGTTTTAGTCATTCGGGAGTAACTTAAGCCGTGCTGTATAAGAGTCCAAATATTTAAAACTTAATTCTACGGCTTTCTGAAAAAAAGACTCCTCAAGAAATTCTAAGGATTGTTTAACGACCAATCGATTCCTTGTCTTTTGTGTAAAAATTCTCAATCCTGTACAGATAAGATATTGTTTAAATATTTGAGCAGTTTTAAAAATCTCCATTGCGTGCAAAGTTTTTTTGCATACAGCCTTTCTTCGTGGATCGATTGAAGTGAATGCTGGGACTGAGACCCGGATGAAGAAAATTGGTAATGTTGACTCAACCAAGTGATGGGCAACACAGGGATTTAATTGGGGAAACTTTACTTAGGGGGGACAAAAATAGAAAATGCGGACTAATGTACCTGTACATACTTTCAACGAAACAAAATTAAACTTTTTTTCAAGTTCTCGAAAAATAAAAAATTATATCATGGCAAGTTTAAAATTAGCTCGATTCTATATTTAGATGTATCATAAGTTGGCAAAAGTTTTTTTTTTAATGTTGAGTTCAGGTTTCTTTGTTGAGAAATGTATTTTGGGTTCAGTGTTAAGATTGCATCATGTGTCTTGGATTAATACTTGTTGGTAAATCCAGCCATCTTTTTATCCTAAAGACCCATTATCTTTGGGCTATTGTTTACATTAAGTGTGCCCCGTAGAATACGATTTTGCTTATCTTTGTTATGTCAATACTAGGAGGAAAGGAAACAGTGGGTCCCTTGCCAGTCAGCTGATCTAGAATATTTTCCAAAGGCATCTTATACAGATGCTCACTTTTTTAGATGGATGTTTTAAAAACTCAATGCAAATATATGTGGGAAGGGGAGAGGGAGGAAGCTGAATAAATATACGGAAAAATAAACATTCACATACATCTTCAATAACGTTAGGGGTCATCCATAAATGACGTCAAGCTTTTTTGACGATTTTTACCTCCCCCCCCCCCTTCCCTCCGTCACACGTCGTCACAAAAAGCCAGACACCCCCCTAAAATGACGTCACACCTCAGCATACAACACCCTCAAAATTGCTGTTGAATTTTTCTTAAAACATCGATATTTTTCCGAAATCGTGTCAGAACTCTGTCAACATAGACTAGTTTGATCAATTCCTATTACAGTTTATTAAAACTGGTTTCTAAAACACGAAATAACGGCTAAAACTTGTTTTCTAACATTACTTTTTTATAATGCAAAAAAGTGACGTCACACCATCTGAATCCCCCCCCCCCCCCTCCCCTTCATCACACACCGTCACAAAATTACGGACCCTCCTCCCCTTACGAGTGTGACGTCATTTATGGAAGACCCCTTGTTCAAGACTATCGGCACGAACGTATGTACTTAACGAACATATACTTTAATATCTCGGGTAAATTTAGTTAAAACAATATAAAAACACAGTGGATAAGAGTATAACTGCCTCCAACTATAGTTGTTTATTTTACAGTCAGAATCATAGCTTATGAAACAGGTCAAACTGTGTGAATAGTTTGTTTAAAATAACCGGTAATGAGGTGTGTGAGCAATACAGTGATCTAACCCATACCGTACCATTATGTTGAATAGTAATCTTTTTGGAACACAAAAAGCAGTAGATAATTAATAATGTACAGATATGCAATGCAAAAACATTAGTAAAGTTTAAAATTGTTTTTGTACTTTTGTCGACAGCAATCGGGGAATCGCATGTAACCCATTTAAAATGTGCAATTCTAAATTAACTTCTCTTTTACAAATTTTCATTATGCTGTATTGTTTTAGCATTTTTATTAAAAAATATAATCAATTCGGAATTTAGACAGCACTTGTATTGTAAAAACAAATAATAATAAAGTATTATATCGAATAGTAATAAAAATATTGATCTGGTTGATTTTGACAGTTACAATTAAATGTGTAGGACTTTACATATATAAATATATATATTAAGAGAGTGATTATTTCCCCTACATTAGTTACAAATATTCGTTTACGTTAGATGTTCTTTTACAAGGTTTACAAAACAGGTAGTGTTGCGTTTATTGTTTTTTTGTTGTTGTTTTTTTTGTATTGTGTGTATATTTAGTGTTTTTGTTTTCTTTTATGTGATAAATTGTTTTGTTTTGTCGGCCTACATTGTGTTGTGTTCTTTTGTTTTATTCAGAGTGTTTACACTGTAGCGAAGCAATACCAAACAGATATTGTACATATATATATATATATATATATATATATATATATATATATATATATATATATATATATATATATATATATATATATATATATATATATATATATATATATATATATATATATATATATATATATATATATATATATATGGCGCCTTTTTCTCGACTCGCAGCTCCCCCTAACCCGACGAAAACCTGCATACGCCTCTGAGTTTAAGGTAATTTAGCTTAGCTCTCCACACATTCGTATTGGCGTGAACTGGAACAATCTTTTAACAGATGCAAATGAATATCACCACACGTCTCTGTAGAAATGGAAAAATCAAACAGCATATACACAACAGTGTATAGCAGGATATTTTAATCAATACATTCAAAAAACCTCATCTAGAATTACATATTATTTTTATTCCTTCACCTGCACCGAATAGAATGTATGCGTCTACCTCTGTCTTTACCCCGCCCACCTATAAACACGTAGATTCTACTCCTTCTTGTACCTCTCTCTACCCCTTTAACATCTTTCTACCCCTCCCACCCAGTACATCTCCCTACCTCTCACCATATCTCTCTACCCCTGCCACACCTCTTTATATCTCTCCCCCACCTCTCTCTCCCTTCCACATCCCTTCCCTCGCCACCTTTCTCTACCCCTCCCCACCTCTCTACATACCTTCCCCTACCTCTCCCCACCCCCTCCCTACCCCTCTTTACCTCATCCCACCTCTCTCCACCCTTCCCCGCTCTCTCTCTACCTCCCCCACTCTCTAACCATCCACATCAACCTCTCACGACATTATTACTCAACCCCCTCTTTCATCATTACAACATCTTTTCCCATTTGTACCCAAGACACATTGAACAAGTTCATCTGTTAAAATCACCTCGGCATACAAGAATATAAGGTAGTCATTATGCACAGTCCCATTTGTTTCCCCAAAGTGAATTGGGTACCCATCAGAGCTGGGTGGACTCAGGGACGTTCTAATGATTTAAACCCAGATTCGAACTCGAGACTCTATCAGTCTAGCGCTCCACCTCAACCGTCCCAACCTCCTCTTTATTTGTCTTTAAAAAAACTTTGTAAAATAAAATAAAAATGTGTTGGTTTGAAAATATGCTAATATTTTTGTTTACCATTTCTTATGTGGTTGCTAAGGGCTATTTGTATTAGCCTTTGTACCGCCTACCTACAAAGACGATTGTTATGTAAATAGCTTTAATAAATTACCGCTATAAATATTGGAAAATGCTAATAATAATAAAAACTATACTTGCTTGCTGCAGGGAAAAAATAATTCGCAGATAAATTATACATAACGATAAAATTTAACCAACAGAATATTACATTGTTAACATTGTGTACAC